ACCTACGTCACTTCTATGGGCGCTGGACCTATGGAGGTAAAATGTGGATGAATGTTCTAAAAAATATGTCCTAGGAGTATGAACGTTTGAAGTCCAAGTTTCTTTAAATGATGTATGGAGGGTAGAGGTAAGGAGAATTATCTTCGTGTATTGAAAAATGGTCATCAAACAGGGAACACTTAAGATGGCGCTGATGTAGCGAAAGTTCTACTTTTGAAAACGCCAAAAATTTTTAGATCAGGAAAAAATTATTAAAAAGAGACAGATAAATATGCGATTTCTGAAGCCGCGTCTTGCCTCTCTTTTTCTTTTGTTACTTTCACTTTATTTCTAACCGCTCGGTTCAGTTTGATCTCTTATTGCTTGTTAGCGACACCGTGGTCATTTATTGAACCCCATTCTTGCCATTGTGGTGACCACTTTTTCAAATAAAGTCCCATAAGAGATGTTTCTCCTTACCTCTAACCTCCATAAAATGATGTAATTGAACTTTCAAGAAGCCATTTTTTTGAATTTCATGTTTCTATTACTTATTACTCTATTTTATAGGCATAAATGAATTATACACATAGGCGTGTAGAAATCTACACGCCTAAACAAATTATGACTAGAAAGGAATCAATGGATGATCTAATCTAATTTAAGGAATAGATATGTGTAATATGTTCTGTGATTTTTAAATGTATGAATAAATATGATATATTGAGTTAAAACATAATTCCATATTCCTTTTTGTCAGATTTAAATTGTATGTTACTAAATATTTTTTCAAAATGATGCAAAATGAAATCTACTTAAATTATGATTGAATGCCCGATAAACCCTAATTGTCAAAGCATCAATACACATACCGAGCATCAAGATACACTTTTTAATATTATTAAGTTAAATATTGTTTTAGGAAAGATCCTGTTATCTGTATGTATGTACATCAATCACTAAATAGAATTTGGTGTGGATATGCATAATCTGAATTTGTTATATAACAATTTGCTCATTCATATTATTCAATTCATAATCTGTATTTCACATGTATTCCAACTTTCTACTGTTCCAATTGATTACTAAATGCAATAACAATTTTTATTTTAAAAGTCAGTACAAGTTTGTCCCACATCTAATCAATAAATAAATAATTCATTGTAAATATCCCAACTCAGTGGCGGCTCGTCAGGTTAAGCAAGGTAGGCAGCGTCTACCCTATAATTTTGTCAGAATTTAAGAGGTTTATTACATTATATTATTTACTATTAATGTTGCCAATAACTAAAAATACTGTTAATACACGTTATTGTGTTGAAATAACCAATATTAATTTACTATTTGTGGTATTGTATATTAAAATATTCCCTACCGCTGGCGTACGCTGACTGCGCCGCTGCGTTAAAAACAAAATAGTAATTTTAACCGTTGGAGTATAATGCAAACGCCTTTGTTCGGCGATTTTTACATCGCCTATTATAGCACTACCAATGCCTCACGACAGTCTTCTGTCTCTGCCTAACTCATCGTTCGGTAGCGACGCGACGTAAGTCGGAGTTGTATCGTATTAAAGCGGGGTTTAGGCGAAATCTTCGTTCGCCTCCACATAGTGGAGGCTCGGTAGGCCAAAAAAGTTTGAGAGCCACCGGATTTTTTCTGTAATTGCATCCCTTTTAGTTCTGTAACCATAGAGTAAAGCCTTAACTATGGTAATATCACAGATTAGGTATCCTATAAGTATACAGATAAAAATCTTGTCCCTAATTCGTGGTACGAAAATTGTTTTCTATGACGATGAGCAAACGAGTAAATTTTCTTGTGCGCAAAAAGAAAGTCCCGTTTGAACAGCATAATAACTGGGCCGGTCAGGCGCTGTGCACAATTTTAGAGGCCATAAACCATAAGTGGGCGTGCTTGTGCGCAAACTAGTAACCTAACTAGTGCGCGACTCCGAAAATTGGAACCACGAAAAAAAATGCTTTTGACGATAAGTTTATAATCTGTATAATCTGTGGTAATATCAGAGATTAAGAAATTACAGTGGGGAAAAATTTGCGGTGAACATGCAGTTCTAAAAAGTTTTCAAAAAATATTACACGGAAATTTAAAAGAAAATGCACGATTTTCAGCATCTTTTTTTGAGAAAAAACCTCATAGACGTGTTCCTGGGGTCGAAATATACCACCCCTGAAAATATTTGCACTTATTTAAGACTCATCTTGTATTTCCATAGAAATATACTGTAAAATTGTTTATTTTGATTGTTACTACACCATTTACAAGTAACTTGGGTTAAGAGATATTTTTCATGTTTGAAATGCATTAAAAATTACAGTAGAAATTCTATGAAAAATAAATGTTTATCGTCACTTGCCTTACTTTCAATTTAAAAAGAGCTTTTCATAGCCCTAAAATCAGATGATTTTACTGATATATAATAATAAATAACTTTTCTTTATTAAGAGAAATTAATAATAATTACTTAATTATTTATTAATTTAATACATAAAACATAATTATTCTTTCCTTTTTTTATTAATCTCAAAATATGAAAAACATAATGTTTTCTTTGTAAATTTAATTGTCTATACTGGGAGAGTCTCAAAAGTGGCACACCCCTATAACTTTTTTATTTTTTCAGATAAAAAAACGAGATTTGGTATGGCAGTATATGGCATAAATTAGGATTGATTGCCGTATTCAACTGTTTTTGGTCACTTCTTGTTTCACTGGAAATGACTAAAACTGTTAATTTTTAAATGGCACCCTCGGTATTTTTTTTACTTTATTAAGAAAATTAATTTTTAAGTTTACCTAGCAAAATAAAACACTAAATCACCACAATACACCAAAACACTTTTACTTTTAACCATGTTAGCATCATCAGCAGATGATTACAAACTAAAGTACAATCTACAAGTTGAGCGTTTATATACTCGCTCAGTGTGCACCGAGTGGGCGTGGCAAAATCTAGCCAACCGAGTCACAGCCCACTGAGCGTCCAAACCAAACCAAACAGTTAGATTTCCGCCACTAGAGTAGTAGTAGATGGTCTCGACAATAAAACTGTGATTGAATATATTGAGCTTACATTGTTATGTATGAAACAAAATTGTTTACAATTTAATAACAACTTTTTTGAACAACGGGAAAGTACAGCAATGGGTAATCCATTGTCTCCATTTTTGGCTAATTTATTCATGAGCAGGTTTGAATTGGAGGCTAAGAATCAGTTTGACTATTTTCCAAGAGTATGGTTTAGGTTTGTGGATGATATTTTTGCTGTTTTTGACACACATTCAGACACCATAGATAATTTTATTTCTAAGTTAAATAATCGTTTTCCTTCCATTAAATTTACGCATGAAATTGAGAACAACGACAGATTACCTTTTCTAGATGTATTAGTTATTAGAAATACTAATAATTGCCTGGAATTTGATATCTATAGGAAAAATACCACCACACGCAGATATATTCCTAATGAATCATATCATAGTGTTGAACATAAAATGGCTAGTTTAAATTTCTTAGTTCATAGATTACTTAGTTTCCCACTTTCCAACGAAAGATATGAAATAGAAAGAGATTATATTAGGAATGTAACTGAGTGTAATGGATATTTTCCTTCACTAGTTGATAAATTAATTAGAAAACGTAGGTATAGGTTAATGCTCTCTGAAAATTCGACTTTTTATGTTGAGAAAGATACGTCTAAATATTTTTCAATACCGTTTGATAGAGAGTTATCCCGTGGTCTAAAAGGAATTTTTAAGAATGTTAATTATAAACTTGTGTATAGTACTAATAATAAATTACAACAATTATTAGGTAATCCAAAAGGATAAAACACCTCCACTGGAAAGGTCGGGTATTTATGAAATTTCTTGTAAAGATTGTAATCAGAAATATGTTGAGCAAACTAGAAGATCAATATTAACTAGATTTAAAGAACATTTAGCTCAGATAAGATATGGTAGATCGGATAAATCGTGCGTTGCCGAACACATTGTTGATAAAGAACATTGTATAATTTAAAATAACATCTTAATAATTTAAAATTAATTAAACAAGTCTCAAATTACAGGCAATTAGATGCATATGAAAGCATCAGAATTAATAAATGTAAAGATGGTTTGAAAAGAGACAACGGTCCAATTCCTTCAAGTTCTTTGTTCCTACTACTCTAGTGGCGGAAATCTAACTGTTATGCTCAGTGGGCTTTGACTCGGTTGGCTAGATTTTGCCACGCGCACTCGGTGCCCACTGAGCGAGTATATAAACGCTCAACTTGTAGATTGTACTTTAGTTTATAATCATCTGCTGATGATGCTAACATGGTTAGCGAAACGCGCGTCCAATGTAAAAGTAAAAGTGTTTTGGTGTATTATGGTGATTTAGTGTTTTATTTTGCTGTGTAACACCAAAGGTTCCAACCCTAAACTGTAATAAGTTTACCTAAATAAATAAAAACAAAATAAAATCCTATGCATGGTACTATTATCTACCTTATTTATCAAAGTACTTAAAAATTAGCATCTGAGAAGATAAAAAAACATATACTTATACATTATGTCATTGCGTTGAATGTTGTTATTTTTGCTTTAGTTTTGTCTAAATATTCTTGAGCTATGTTTTTAAATCAGAGATAATATAATTTTAAGAACTGGATTAGGATATTATGTAAATTTAGGGTGAGGGGGAAGGGGGACAAATGGACGCAACTAAAATTTTGTCACCTACCCAGTCCCTAGGGTCACGAGCCGCCATTGTCTCAAATGAGCCAGTAAAAGATAAGTGTAACAAAGTATAATTCTATATGAAATTGAGATAGTGCTAACAGTTATAACTATCAGCAAAATTAAATAAATTTTATAAACTATGCATGTCTGCAGTACAAAATAACCATGGAAGTATTTTTGAGAAGCAAATGTATCCTCATTCTATTGCATTACCAAAACAAGCAGAATAGAATAATTTATATATTTCCTTTTCAACTATAGTTCTAATTAACTCACTTTCCATCCTTGTGTTTCTTATGTATTTGTGACATTTTAAGCTGAGCTCTCCTCTCTGCATCTCCTTGTTTAGTCTTTGCAAGAGCTCTTTTAAATGATAAAGTACATAACCAACACAATAATTTGCCATCGACCTGAAATATAGAAATAGATGCCCCTTGTGTTTTTCAAATACTGATTTTTTCCTTTACCTTCTTGTCATCATCTTGCCTATCAAAGGCGCATTTTTGCTTGCACTGTTCACAATTTACAGGAGGACCATACTTAATTTCAGAATTTGTGCATCTTTGACACTTGTTACCGATAAACGCTGCTATAATATTACAATATTCACAGGCCGTAGGTTTCCCATAAGCCTTAACATTCTGTTCGCATTTTTTGCAAATTGCACTAGTACTACCCTTTGATGTCTGTTGAAATTCCGACCGGCAATATGTACATTTCACTACTGGAAATGCACCGCGACATTCCTATTGGAAGAAATATACAATGTATTTTCACTATGGTTCTAATAATTTTGTCCAAATGAGTAAATATAAATAACATTCAGAAAACTTATTTTAATAAAATTATACAATATTAAATATAAAAATTACTCACTTTACAAAGTTGTTGACCTGCGGATAACTCCTCAAAAGGGTAACGAGCGAAACATCGCGAACATGCAAATAAAGGAGCACTCATATTTATTATTTTTCACAAAAATACTCGATTCAGTCCTCAAAAATTATTAAATATCGCAAAGTACAAATACCCGTACAAAACAATTAATCAAAATCATAAACTATTTCAGAAAACTCCACTCATAGCAGTGGCCATATTGAAAATTATTGACGTAAATCACGGGGGTGTTACTTGTATGGGAAAACAGGCAACAGTCAAATTTAAACATGCCAGGACCAACGACAAAGAAAGCAACATCTGCCAGGCATTGGCTTTCTTTGTCACTCACATTGCTTAAATCATGATACCGCGGCCATTTTGTCAACAAAGAAGCTGGCCGGCTGTCCTGGCAAGTGATTTAAAACAATTTTGCTTTTTTACAATATTAAATTAACCATTTGGATGTATTTAATGCGATTATTCAGTTAACTGGTAAGTCAGAAATTACACACAAATACTTTATTCGTAAATACAACTAAGATGTAAACGTATTTTTGTATTTTTAGATTTCAACTTTTGCAAAGACCCGCCGATAGAACTTGCCTGGCAGCGTACCTGTTTAACTAAACGTATTATTTCCTGAAATAATATCAAAACACGTAAGTACCTCTATAATTTATGATGAAAAATGATTTTGATTATGTTTTATATTATTTAAATACTTTCTAACCTTAAATAATAGTAAGATCCTTGTTTATATCGCACAGCCCGTTCAAAACTGTATTGACTTCAAAAAATGTTTACAAAACAAACAATTATTAAAAAAACAATGTCCTTTTAATCTGATTTATACCTCAGAAGGATGCCAGTTAAATTTTTATTAAATCAACATTACATTATTTGGCCATTAATATGCAAAAAGGAGCATATTGCGTTAACTTAAATTTTCTTTTACTTCTCCTGACAATGTTCTCTATATTCTCTATTTTGAGTTAGTAAACTTTTGAACGGGATGTGCGATATATAAAATACATAATATATCCAAGGGCATGATCTGATAAAAGTATTTTTTGATGCATTTTTTGGTTGTTTATGCACATTGGCTTGGTTTATGTTTTATTCAGCTTATATTTATTTGGTATAACAGTTTTTTTTGCCTTTGGAATGGCATGCATTGAGGCTAGATAGTGTTTCATTAGACCATTAAAGAAATTTAAATTAGCATATATTTTTTGTGATGTTAGTGTGTTATCATGATACAGGTAGTTGTATCATAGTGCCTTATGCATGTTATTTACCTATTATATACTTATGTATTATCAGTAAATAGATGATAATATACTACTAAAATGTCTTTTTAATAGTATGTTTATCTGTCCAATTCACTAGTTATTTGCAAAATGTATTTTGAACTAATTTAAGTCATTAATTGATCATCTTTCTTTTTCAGGTTCCGGGATATTCTTTTTCATTGTTAAAAAATATATATATTTCAATATTATTGTAATATAAATCGCAGCTCTAAAAAATAAATGATATTGTTTACTAATGTGTAATTTATTTACTATGAATTTTCTCTGAAAATAATAAGTCTTTAATAATATCATTGATTTGCTGTGTAAAGTTAATAGATATATTTTTTAATACATTAAATTATATTAAAGTATTAAAAAATATGTTTATTAACTTTAAACAGTAAGTCAGTGATACTTATAAAAATATGTTTTTTTTAAATTTCCCCTCTTTTAAGCCCCGCCCCTCCAATTCCCATCAATTTAGCTAGTACTGCCAGGGGACACCAGGTGGCGTCTGTTTCCATTTTTTAACATGAAGTTAGCATTTCTTTAATGTACCTATTCTCTGACGTAAATTTTTATGACAAACTATGCCCTAGAACAATGTTTATATATCTTGCCATAGAACATATTATAGAAGTAAATGCCATAGAATTTTTGCCATAGATATGGAGGGTACCCTCCATGGAGGCTGAAAAGCCTGGTACAAAGAATACAAGGTATGATCGACAGCGGCTCCAATTTCGTTCAGTTCGCGCATAACACCTGGGACGTCATTAGGAAAATAATGAATAAATAAAAAATAAAGAAACTTCCTTTTATATAAAAACTACCTTGTAAAATACATTGTAGTTTTAACACGCCCATCCCTGACAAATTTATTGCAGTAGCCATAGATTATAAAGGAGTAGTTAACAGATGTTTTGACTAATTTATTTTCTATGGTTGTGAAAATTCTGACTTCTGACCTAACCTCGCTTTATGTTTTGTGTTGATGGTGTTGAGGTGTTCATGTAAACGTAAATATTTAAACGTTTTCTTGTACCATTCGCTATTATTACGATAATTACTGCGTCTACCAGTTGTCTATAGGTGAAAAATATAATACACTAATAATATGGCTGCGATAGAGGAAGAGAATTTTCCGAGAGGAGGGAAAGTATTTCGGAAAAGAGCTGCACGTGATGTTACAAACGTAATTATTCCTTATTGCTGTGATGTATATTTCAACAGTGTTAACTTTTAACAATTCTTTAGCTATTTAACACAGGCAAATCTCCAAAACAGAAAAAAATAAAAAAGAATGAACCAAAGCAAGCAGATGATGGATTAGTTCAGCCTTCATTAAACATTAGAGGCTCATTGACTTATAATGTAAGTATTATAGGTATATTCTATTTAGTATAATATATGACTGTTGTCTTGTCTGCCTTTTTAATTCATAAGTATAGTCTGTCCAACAAGAGGATACATGACAGTGACAGTTGTGTTGAAATCTTTAAATACTGGCAAGTAAGCGCCATTGAAAAACAAAGAAGAGTACGGGTCAAATCAATGACTAAAGGATACAAGAACAAATAGCAACCCAAACCAAAATGTGACCATTCTTCCTAACAGTACCGTGGCACATATTTTTCTTAACATAGCCGATTGAAGCGATATTTATATTTTTGGTAAATATTTTCACTACGCCTCTGGTGTGTCCTGTGGTATCATACTAATTAATTACGAAAAAAATGTATTAAAATGTTAACAAAAGGTACAAAACTAGTATCGACGTATAGCACATATCAAGTACATATAATATTAGAAAAATAATTATCGAATTCAATAAAAAAACGCTAAAAAGGCGTAGTGGACTGTTTATTTCCCTATAAAACGTAACTCCTGGAACTTTCTTATCATTGCGCTTTTTACACTTGAAAGCTGAACAAATTACCGTTGTAATAAAGTTTATACAAAGTTCACTACACACAACCAACTATTAAAAATCGCTAAAATTGTCGCTGATGAACAGCTGATGATTCATTCGTATTCATATTACCATTTCTGTATTTCTGTATATTATGATTACAGTTGAGGGTTGGAACCTTTGGTGTTACACAGCAAAATAAAAAACACTAAATCACCACAATACACCAAAACGCTTTTACTTTTACACTGGACGCGCGTTTCACTAACCATGAGTTTATAATCATCTGCTGATGATGCTAACATGGTTAGCGAAACGCGCGTCCAGTGTAAAAGTAAAAGTGTTTTGGTGTATTGTGGTGATTCGTTATGTCCATAAAAATGGCGTCTAAAGGTCACAAATTTTGCTGCAGCCTGTATATGGCCATTACATGTCCTTGTATTCTTTAGTCATTGGGTCAAATAATAACGTCTATGGCTTGACCTCGCTAAAATTCTCATCAATTCTATAAAATAATATATTATGCATATTACCATTTCTGTATATCATTATTGTATATTGTATTTTTGTGAATATTTGTGAATGGTCATTTCCCAGCCGTCTTTGACGGGTTTTTTTCCAATAGTATGGTATAACTAAATTGAACAACTTTATACTAAACAAAAATTATGATATTTAAGTTTCAATAATAATTGTTAATAAGCATTATAGCAACTGCAAAAGAGAAGTGAAGTAAGAACAATAAGAATGTAGAATGAGTGAGAGGGGGATTAATCACTGCGACCTTAAAGATCTATTGTGTCCCCCTTCCTTGAGTTATAACTCGTCATACAGTCTATAATCCATCATACATTTTCCAGTTGTAGGGGGGACAGGGTATGTCCCATCCTACTCTGACAACAGATGTTCTTCCTCCGAGGGTATACACCCTTCTACGGTTGGAGTTTGGCCTCCGTGCCCTTCACAATCGAGAAGCTTGTTTCCGGCAGAGGTACCCGTGAGGTGGAGTCTGGAGGATCAGTCTCCATTTTTTCCACCTCTTTAACTTGGTCTCTCCTTAGACCTGATACCGGGGATGTCCCGTATCTATAATAGAGGATATATCCCTCTTTCTCTATTGCCTCGTTGGATTTGAGGTCAATTCCTATTATGAGAGCCTGACCATGACCATCCTCCCTCGAGTTGACTACTCACCAACTTGATTGTCCTACGTTGGAGTTCTGAGCCTGGATAAGGCTCAGCAGGTAGGTGGTGCCTTTTCCCTTGTTCCTCGGCAGAAAGACAGTGATGGTCGCCCCTTTTGGGATGTTTTCTCCCTTCACTGCAACCAGTCCCGGCCCTTGCTAATTTTTAAGTTTAGGTGCGATTTCCACCAACCAATCCGCCGATTCTTGAGATACACAATCTATGAGGATCATGCCCACCCGAAAGTGTATCCCCGCAAAACGCAGCTAATCCACATTTTGTAGATCGTTGTGTTGCGATCCGGTCGCCACTACTTCGTCCAATATCGCCTCTTCTAGAGCCGTTTGATGATCGGTGGTCAGTGCTCTTGATAATCCTTTGGTAGCCTCGCTATTAAGAACAATAAGAAATAACATTACTACTTATTTACAAGAGTGATTTCGACCGCTAGAAAGTAACAAAAAACTTTCCCGCGTAACAAAAAATTATTTTTTAATTATTGCTTGAGTTGGGGTTATTGTTGTAATGGGGTTTTAAATGCCTATTAGCTACTAGTAAATTTAAGTATACAGGGTCGGTCATAAAGTTGTGCCGCATCAATCTTTATTTTTTTAAAAAATGAAACCCCCTGTATATTATTGCATATTTCAATTCTTCCTTCAATTTTAAGCAATAATCATAATACACAATGTACAGGGTGGGTCAAATTCGACGCTTTTAAATGGAAACACCCTTTTCTATAGGAGATAAACAAAAACTAATATCGGTGTCTGGAGCTCAATTTTTGTCAAAAACATGATGGTGAAAACCGCACATCAATATCTGTTACCGTTTCGGAGTTACGGGGTGTTTTTCAAAAATATGCATTTTTAACAAATCGCTGTAACATTTTTGCTATGAAAAATTTTATATTTTTATGAAAACATTTCCAAAGCACCTTTTTACGTAGAATTTAATGGTTTAAGAATAATTTTTTTATAAATAATTATTTAAAAATTATTAACAGAAAATTTAATTTTTTATATGGGACACCCTGTATATTTTTAATTTATTGAAAGGAATTTAAAATTACCTTTCCAAAAATATAACACTCTTGATATTTTGCTCGATTCCTCTTCGAGATATAGAGTATATAAAAATTCGCCCGCTTTAAATAAGTAGGCTTTGAACGGCATCGGCTGTAATGCAAAAAAAAATGTGAGCTGTGAGCATCAATTAAAACGAAAATAATATTTGCTATGAGAGATGCAGAATTTTATAACAATTTGAAATATATTTAACCAACATCAACACATTTAAACTATATCTAATAACAGTTCTAATAACAGTAAAAATAAATAGCAAACCAAGACATGAGATTTTGCTACAGGTGTTCGACAAATCGACCGTCTTATGTTATGGACAGACGGGGCAGTTTTTGAACATTTCTCGCGGAATTCATTAGCTCAGTGGGGGTGAAAAATACCTTCTCATAACTGCTAAGTATTTCTAATTCTTTTCTAGATTATACGGAAGAATAAGGAACCTGTATTCTTCCGCAAATATATCCATAGGATTAGAACCATGGGCACTAAGTCAGGCGGCCTCGACGGCTAACGGCTGGGATCTTGGTTAGCTATTCAATTATTCTTGAAATTGGCTGCAAAAATTTGCTGATAACTTCAGCGTTCGGAGGCGGCTGCGTCGTCTTGCTGGAAAAATATGTTTTCGAGTTCCATTAAGGGCATATCATCAATAAGGGGTCCAAAGCCTACTAGTTAAAAGTGGCGAACTTTTAAAAATTCTGTATTTCGAAGGGGATTATAACAAAATATTAAGTGTGCTATATTTTTGGAAAGGTAATTTTAAATTCTTTTCAGTTAATTAAAAATATAGAGGGTGTCCCAAATAAAAAATCAATTTTTTTGTTGATAACTCTTAAATTATTAATTTAAAAAAAAATATACTTAAACCATTAAATTCTACGTAAAAAGGTGCTTTGGAAATGTTTTCATAGAAATACAAAATTTTCCATAGAAAAAAAGTTACAGCGATTTGTTAAAAATGCACATTTTTGAAAAACACCCCGTAACTTCGAAACGGTAACAGATATTGATGTGCGGTTTTCACCATCATGTTTTTGATGAAAATTGAGCTCCAGACACAGATATTAGTTTTCGTCTATCTCCTATCACCTATACAAAAGGGTGTTTCTATTTAAAAGCGTCGAAAATTTGACCCACCCTGTACATAAATAAATTGAAGAATCGAAATGTTAAACGAAAATTTTGTAATTTCCAGACTTGATATAATCATTTTATACATCTATAAATACTTACTTGAAAATTAATGTTGAATATTATTAAGTATCACAATTTCGGCAGAATGGTATCGTTAAATGAAACTGAACATATCGAAATTAATTAAATAAAATTGTTTCAGTGATGTTTTCAAAAGTCAATAACTCGGAAACGGTTGGTTCGAGGAACATTGTGTGTATCTCGATTTTTGCTTGGAATTGAAGGAAGAACGGAAATATGCAATTTATCTTTTATGTGGCCACGACTTTATGACCGACCCTGTATACTTAAATTTATTACTCGCTAATAGATATAATCCTATAACTTTCGTATTTAACTTTTGGCGGTACCTCCTATATTTTACGTAATAATCGACCGTTTCCATACATAACAGCGACCCTGTAGATTGTTTTTTTTTTATTATAGAAAATTCAAAGTGGAATGGTTATAATAGGATGCATAAGAAACATAAAGAATTTCTCTTTAGAAGTGGAATTACCTGGTTTGTGCTTTGCTACTATAAATATTACTGAAATATCCGATCCATTTACCAAACACTTAAATAAATTATTAGAAGACGATGATCCTGAAGTAAGTATTGACTTTGCTGATGTTAATAGTTTTCATTATTTGCATGTAATTGATTCCTTAAGGTGGCTACACACATTACTGCAAGCTTGACAAGCATGCATGAACAATATTTTTGTACAAGCAAACTGTAGCGTCTGTAGGGAAAATTTGCGCAAGCATTTTGATTGTGCAAGCCGCTTGATGATTGATTGAATATGAATCATGCAAGTTTGGGCAAGCCATGCTTGCTTAAGCAAAACGGTACGTGTGTACCACATGTATTCAGCTTGTACAAACAATTAGTTCAGTCCGTGATCGTAAATGACCTGTACGTCGCGTCGCCATCATGTCTAGCGATCTGAAAAGGAGCAATGGAGGATTATTGGAAGATTTTATTTGCGCATCCGAAAATCAGCCGTGTCTTTGGCGAATTAAATCACCAGAATATCATAATAGGGTGAAGAAGGATGCAGCATACAAAATTTTACTTAATAAGTATAGATTAATTGACAGCCAAGCTGATAAGGATGCCATTATTAAAAAGATAAATGCCTTTAGGCACAAAATATCTAGCTACGCAACAGAAAAATACTCGAAATGAAAAGCTAAAATTGTACAAATAAAATACTAGATGGCGCGACAATATCATAATCAGAATATAATTGGAAGTTTTGAACTTTCGGTTTTGGCTTGACAACACGTCGACGGCCTTGAAGCTCGGCTAAATATGCACAGTTGCCAGATTCAAAAAGACTTTAATTGGCATCCCATTCTTTTTCTGGTGTATAATAGTTTCTTTGGTTTCTTTCTATTCTTCTTTTCTTGTCAGACACACTTATATCTGTTCGAATAATATTAATTATTCGTTTGGCTTTTACAATAGTTTTAAGTATATTATTACAAAACATATACTCACAAAATACATTTTTAATATACACTACCTTATATTGTTAACTAAGAAAATACCGTTAATTACCTTAGTTAGGTTAGTAATGAAATATATGTTTAATAATAATGAAAATAATTTATTAAAATGCAGTACAAAAAATGTTAATTGGATAAAAAAAATACTATAATAACAAATTTCTTCTGTTTGCCACGTTATTTATATAGACCTAGGTAGATTTTAAAAAGTGACACAGGTACAATTAATAATATCATAATCGGCATAAAAGTTGCTGTCACGACATCGTACAATAAATTAAAATTCGTAAAATAAATTAAAATTGTTAATTAAAAAAATCTTTATAAAGAAACGCAAGTATACCAAATTTGGACCCAATCGAAATCCAGGAAATGATATCATAATATTGTACCATATTATGGTACCACTCGATATGCTTCAAGGTACCATAATATTGCAATGTCACCGAAGATCCGTATTATACCAAGTTTAAGCCCAATCGAACGCCAGGAAATGGTATCTTAATATGGTACTACATTATGGTACCTCTTGATATGCTTCATGGTACCATAATATTGCAATATCATCAAACATACGCAAGTATATATCAAATACTCAATGGGCGTGATCGAACGGCAGGAAGTGGTATCATAATGTAGTACTATAGAAGGTAGCACTTTATATGCTCCACGGTACCATAATATTACAATGTCACCGAAGATACGTAATATACCAAGTTTAAGCCCAATCGAACGCCATGTACATACGTAATATAGTACTATATTATGGTACCACTTGATATGGTTCATGGTATCATAATATTGCAGTGTCATCAAAAATACGAAATTATATGTCAAATATGAGCTCAATCGAACGTCAGGAAGTGGTATCATAATATGGTACTATAAAAGGTACCACTTTATATGCATCATAGCACCATCATATTACAATGTTACCGAATATACGTAGTATACCAAGTTTAAGCCCCATCGAATGCCATGTATGTAGTATGGTACCATGTATATTATGGTACCACTTGATATGCATCATGGTACCATAATATTGCAATGTCATCAAAAATACGCAAGTATATATCAAATATGAGCCCAATCGAACATCAGGAAGTGGTAACATAATATGGTACGATAGAAGGTACCACTTTATATGCTCCATGGTACCATAAAATTACAATGTCACCGAAGATACGTAGTATACCAAGTTTAAGCCCTATCGACCGCCATGTATTTAATATGGTACTATATTATGGTATAGTACCACTTGATATGCTTCATGGCTTCATGGTACCATAATATTGCAATGTCATCAAAAATACGCAAGTATATATCAAATATGAGCCCAATCGAACATCAGAAAGTGTTATTATAATATGGTACTATAGAAGGTACCACTTTATATGCTCCATGGTACCATAATATTACAGTGTTACTAAAGATAAGTAGAATACCAAGTTTAAGCTCAATCGAACGCCATGTGTCGTAATATGGTACTATATTATGGTATACTATTTCCCATATAATTTTACATATATAAAATGACAGCGATATTCATTTCATAGCCATCATTAACGCCGTTTTTTCCCGATCATGCGATATAAAGTATGAACACAATTGAACGTCAGGAAGTGGTATCATAATAGTAGAACAATACTTATTATAATATTGTCGCCGAATTACAGTCAAAATTCAGGATTCAATTACAATCAAACGTCAGGAACTGATTGTAATTCAGCTCATAAGATTTAACTCCAACTAACATGGCAAGTTAAATACTTAAACGTTTGAAAAAGGCTTTAAAGGCCTGTCTCCTTTTGATACCTACAATTTTATACATGTAACGAGGCTTCTGTTGTGTAGCTAGATATTCTGTGCTTTAGGATTCCTTCTTCTTTTTCGCGGACTTCCTTCTTCTTTTTCTTCGGACTTCCTTCTTCTTTTTCGCGGCATAAACTGAAGCTTGTTCAAGCATCAAGCATGCATGTACCGTGTGGCGTCGAAGGTAAATTATGCATGGCTTGTACAGAAAGATTGTTCATGCATGTTTGTAAAGCTTGCAGTAGTGTGTGTAGCCACCTTTAGGCGGCTTTTTGTGCAAAATTTGTGATAGCAAAAAAAATACTAAATACTTTGAATTTTATCTGAAAACAAAAGTAAAAATAATATCCACTAAAATAAATAAAAATACTAAGTCTCAAATTAGGTAATTAACGGTATTTACCGTTTTTTTCTTTACCATCACAAGCGAAAAAAAATGAATACAAAAGCAACTTTCTTTAGTAACACTGGTATAAAAATTTCGTTATTTTAAAATTGTTTTGATTGTTTTATTGGTTAATTTTGAAGCGTAAAATGTAGTGGTTTGATGTAGTGATGGGAAAACTGATTAATTTCAATAACCGAGTACTCGAGTATCAAGCGATTGCAATAATCGAGTGATCACTCGTATTTAAAAATACGGTTTTTTGTCCGTCGCATGTTGTAAGTACTCGTTAACGCCAAGCGCCAAGCAGTAAGCTGCGTGCGCAGGGCACATATTCTTTCGGTACTGAACGGCAAGTAGTAAGCGGCTAGCGATTCGCTTGATCGCCTGATTTAGTTTTTAGTTTATTTCGAATCATTGTCGTTGTAGGTTGTAAAATTTTGTCTCTCAGATACGCAACGGATAAATATACCGGGTGCGTCTCAAAAGTGGATCACCCCTATAACTTTTTTATTTTTTCAGATAAAACAACGAGATTTGGTATGTTAGTATATGACATAAATTAGGATTGATTGACATATTCAATTGTTATCGGTCACTTCCGGTTTCACCGGAAATTTTGACATTTTCGCATATGGTTTATTTGAAATTGTAACATGCGGTTCATAACGACAATTTGACTCGAAGTACCAAGTGTGTGGTATCAAATTATTCGTAAAAAAATTCTTTTTCGAAATATGCTAATGATCCACCCTCGTTCCATTTGAAAAAAATTGAGATATGATTAAAAATACGATATGGGCATCTTTTAACCGGCCAGGGCAAGACACTAAAACATTAGACGATCAAATCTATTTTACCAAGGCTCCTTGATTAAAAATTAGTGTTTTTAACACAGCCATGGCACTCTAGATTGAAATTTAAAATACAATTTGTTTTTAAGCGAATATGTCAAAAGTTGACATATGATACGTCATTCTATTTAGAATGTCATTTTCTATCGAATAAAGTAAAAAAAATACCGAGGTTGCCATTTAAGAATCAAAAATTGTAGTCATTTCCGGTGAAACAGGAAGTGACAGAAAACAATTGAATATATCAATCAATCCTAATTTATGTCATATACTAACATACCAAATCTCATTTTTTATCTAAAAAAATAAAAAAGTAATAGGGGTGAGCCACTTTTGAGACGCACCCGGTATATACGGCGTCGTATAAATTTGCTACCTGCAATGTATGTAGAAAATTCGCTCGGCTTTTTATCGAGTAGGTCACATTAAAATCGGATTTCAATTTATTTCATTCTAGTATCGCTTGCGTTCGTCGCTTAGTACTCGCCACTTGCATCGCTCGTTCATAATCGAGCGATGTCGGTTATTTCAATAATCGAGTACTTGAGCGAATTTTCGCTCGAGTTGTCCCATCACTAGTTTGATGTAGGAAAGGAATAATTCAGATATCCAACATTAATTTTACATTTTCTTTTACATTTAGACTGGTATAATCCTTAACAAGATGTTTTCCATCGGTGAATACTTACCTGTAAAAATAATACATATTGAACCAAGTGAAAAAGGTGGTGCACATCTCAAAGGAACAATTAATCCCCGTGAGATATATTTTGAATACAATCACACCTCATTTAAAAAGGAAATGCTGGTATGGTGTTCTATTAGTTCACAAGCAGACCATGGTTATGAAATCAGTATGGGAGTAAAAAATACTAGAGCCTTTTTACCTTCAAAAAATATTGATGACAACTCTAAATATTGTAAGTATGTGTTAATGATATTAGGATCTAGCGAAATATTGTGATTAATGAGATATTCTAGTGTAATCTTAGTTCATAGTTTCAAAGGGCTTGTATATCTTATTCTCTAATAGGTATATATATATATATATATATATATATATATATATATATATATATATATATATATATATATATATATATATATATATATATATATATATATATATATATATATATATATATATATATATATATATATATATATATATATATATATATATATATATATATATATATATATATATATATATATAGTCTGTCCAACGAGAAGATCCTTGACAGTGATAGATGTGTCTGTCATTTTAATTTCAAAGTAGTTTATTTTATTTTACAAAGAAATAAGTTGGTACAACTGGAACGCATAGCAGGAAATTAATATATGTATTTAAAATTTGACTGACAAGTAACATCAAAATATTGTGAGAAAAACTGTATAAAACTGAAAAAATGTAATCGAGTTATCTTATTTAATAAAAAAAGGTATGTTTTAATACAAAACCACACCAATTTATTAATACATACTGACACCACATACCAAAAAAATATAAAAAAGAACTATTTCTTAGTTTCAAGCTTTATAAAACTTCCCGCATTTATGATTATATTTATCAATATAACTTATGTACAAATACAAATTTGTAATATTCCGCAGCAATAAATAAAACAACATCAATAAAACAAACTATTTTATTAATAATAACACTTACCAAATTTTATACCTCACAGGTTGATTAATTAACTTTAATCTTAATTTTTTTAAACCAGTACCTTTTGACATTATTTTTCTGCAGTACTAAAATCCATTATTTATCTATCGTATGATGTCGATATTTTACAGCTACTCCAGTTTTTAGTATGTGTTTAGTTTGATCCTTCTACCATATTCGAGATTCACTTATCTACGACGAGATGGTATACGAACTTTATTGGTGGCTGCTTTGGTGGCTGTATAAGACTTTCTGCCTGGGCAGCGAGTATTAACCATAAACTGTGCTCTGGGTTCTACAGTTAATTTTCACTCGATTTTTCTTCCGCTTGACTTCAAAAGACACAAAACACACGTAATAACACGAATCAAAATGCATCATCTTCCAAAACGAAGGGTATTTGACAGAAGTTGTCACAAAATTATAACCTTTAATTGGGCAAGACTTTGACAAGCGTCAAAAATCTAAAGGCGAGTTCATACGCATCGGCGTCCGTTTGTCGTTCATCGTTCCGTCAAACCAATAAAATTGAAATACGTCTGTCATTTTTTAAATAAACCAATAAAACTGGTTAAAAACAACAAGAGACGACGCATGACGGATTTATATTTAAACCCATCCATAGTTAACTTAAAAATTATTAGAAACTTTTTTTAGTAAAATAAATAGATTGGTATGGGACGTCATCTGCTTTTCTTCTGTCATCGTCTGTCGAAATCTTACCTGAGAAAAAAAACACAGTATAGTATATAAAAAGTAATACGATCTGTACAGGGGGTACAATAATGGATAAAGTCGGCTGTAACTTAGAGCCGTTTATGATGGTGCGAGAAAGTTAAACTTTTTTGCATTGTTGTGCCTAGATGGCGTTAATGGTGTTTAAATGATGTTTTTAAACTCTCCAAGTAATGCTGATTTTTTCAAGTACATCAAATGGCATGCCATGACTTATAAATGGAGCTCTCAATTCCCACAGTTATATTGAGGATGTTCTCCAAGAAATTGTCGTTCCAGTTGCTCCTTTCATTGGAAGTGTCGGTATTCCAGTAACGCGATTTTCGAGCGGTATTTATTTGTAACGTCGTGTCGCGCTCCATAACGAATCAGGAACCTGTTACTGAAGAACGACGACAAAATTATAAATTATTTATAATCGCTCTTGAAGTTAGCTCGAACCGTAGTAACCGCATAGCGACGTGTTTAGCTCCAGCCGTCGCGATATCGTCGGGCGCCAACAGTAGTAACTGGAACTGGTATGTACTTAGAGTCGCGCGTGTTCGCTCCAGCCGTCGCGCTCCTAGAGCCGTAGTTCCGCCTGTCGCGAACAGAAGTAACTTTTAACTGCTGTAACTGATCATCGACGCTCGACCTCGGCGGCGACGTATACTTCGCTCCAGCCGTCGCGCTCCTAGAATCGTAGTTCCGTCTGTAGCGAACGGAAGGAACTGGTCCCTGCTGTAACTGATTATCGACGCTCGACCTCGGCGGCGACGTACTTCGTTCCAGCAGTCGCTGAAGCGCTTCTAGGGTTCCGGTTTTGCCTGTCGCGATTTGGTCGGTTACTATTGCGTTGCTGCTCCCGTCGCTACGTTATTTTCGAAATAGCGATTTTTGGTATATACTAGGCATGGTATAAAATAGCGCTGTTTGAAAGGTGAAACGCAAAAGCAAATAAAATAAAATAAAAATATATTATTTGCTTTTATATTATTTTATACATATTATTTTATACATTTATATAAGTTTTTATTGACAAAAGCCAGTATATCTCGGACAGTTTTATAGAGGGTAATTCTCCGTCTCCAATATCAGTTGTATCTAAGTTTAATGCACGAATGGTTGTAACAGCTAGTAGAATTGTAAAAACCTGACAAAACTGGTTGAGAGTAGGTAGGTACTAATGCCAGAAATACTGCATAAGCTTTGGAAGTCGGAACCTCGGTTACAAAATCGCGGTATTTTGTCGAAGTATCGAGGTCGTTATTGTAACGCGACTCATGTGGAGCGATGCATGCTAATGCCAGGCCCCATGTTGGGCGGGCTAACGAGTTAGTAGTACGAATATTAACGAGTGCCTGGATGAGGTTGGACTACGAAGATTGGAATGGCCTCCTTGTAGTCCCGACCTTAGTCCAATCGAACATTTGTGTGATGAACTTTACGAGCTGTTCATCGTCGTCCTATTCCACCACAAACTTTACAAGAGCTATGGCTAGCATTAACGGAGATAGATAATGCTAGCCTTAGTTCTTGTAAATGGTTTTCTTGATCTATAGCTTCATATTCATCAAGCTATAGATCAACAATAAATATCCTTATTCATTCGATACGACGAAGACCTCGAGCTGTTATTATTGCGAGAGGTGGACATACACGCTATTAAAATTATAAAATTATTGTTTTTGTCAATAAAAGAATCTCTGAAATCAATACTTTACTTAAAAATGTGTAGCTCATAAAGGAATAGAGATAATGGGATAATTCAAAAAATGAAATGTTAGGAATACATCTAAGATTACAGGAAAGTGTTTTTTATCCAAAATTCCCGTCTCATTTTTTTCATAGGGTGTTTTGAATTTATTGCAAAAAACAACGTTTTGATTTACGCCGGTATAAACCCGCATAACCAAAGAAAATAAGCAAATAATGAATAAAAGTTTCTTATTTTCTAAATGAAACTTTCTAATTTGTATCTTTCTTCTACGAAGCTTCCCACCACCTTTTTTACCTTTTACTGCCAAGCAACCTACCCTACCCTCAAATTGATTAAGTCAAAATCTGTAGTTTTGCCTGCACCTAAATCTTATAATTAGTACACGTTAACGTGCACCTAGACACTGCGTAAATCTGAAAGCTATCTTTTTTTCTAAATGTAATCTTTATTTTTTTTTAGTAATAGGGAAACCACTATGGTGTGTTGTGCATAAATGTGAGTTCACTCCTTCGTCATCCATTTTAAGATTGAGTTCCAAAGATGAACATATGGAAAATAGAACTACTGAAGTTGATAATTTACATGACCTAATTCCTGGATCAAAAGTAGAACTATTCGTTGAAAAGGTAATACATAAATATATACAATAATATAACTATGATAGTTTAAATTAGCCAATATTATTTGAAAATTGTTTGAAATGGGTACAAGATAAAATATTAAAAAAAAAATACTTCAAACTTTGGTCACAAAAATAGAACCATTTTAAAAATAAGCACTAAATAATACAATAATTCTTAATTGAAAAACGCCTACTTAAGAACTCAGCCCATTAATTAATTATTTTACTTCTTTATAATTATTATGGCTCTATTTTATTTATCTTTTTTTTTAGATACATAGTGATGGCCAAACAAACTTCCAATAAATTCGAATTTTCCATTATTATGGAAAAATGCTTATAAATCAATACAGCATATACAACAATAACAAAAATAATTTTGACATGTCATGTGACATCTGTCATAGCAGAAAAATTATAGAAAGCTACCTTTTAAATATCTTAAAAATATAAAAATGCAATTAGATAAGATCTATAGATACTATACGATCAAAAAAAAAACAGAAATGAAGATCGCTGTTACTTTATATGTAAAATTATGCAGGGAATGCCCAAGGACTGTATATATTCTAAAGGACTGTTCGATCGCGTGAAATCGCCGCTGTCGTAGTCGCCGTGGAATGCTACGTCACGCGCTGACCAGCGCTCCACAGTGCGGCGGATGGTTATTCTAGCGGGGCAAAATCTCAAGAGCAATGTTTGGGACTTAAAATCTAAGAACGTAGCAAATGGTCTAATATATAGCAACTATATGGTTAAATTTATTTATTTATTAACAACTTAATTTATTAATAAATAAATACAAGATAATAAAACTATGATATTATTCATACATGACACACAAAAACCGTATTGTAAACTATTGCCAAATATATAAAATTATGATATCAAAAAACTCTTTAGCAGTTTTTTTTTTAATTAATTTGTAATCTTGTGACACCCTCTATAATTTATTTTAAAAAAATATGTTTTATTTTGAAAATAATAAATAAGATAGATATTTTAATTTTAACACTCGGTAATTGTAAATTTATATATAGTAAGTATCTAAGACAATTTTTTAAACTCAGTGCCTTTTGATGGAGTTGTTTTGTTTTTATACTATCCGATTGAAATGAATCTTTTTGGGCATTCACCTGTTAAGCTTGAACTCCCTGTGACTGGGACTACCTGTGTTGGTAACTATTGGTAACTCAAAAGATCTACATCATTCAATATATCGATATTTGAAAAAAAAGTGAAAGTTTGATATCTGCAGAACAAAAGCACGAAGGATTTTAACAAATAATATACGTACAGTAGAAAAGTACATACCTTTGGCAATCTTCAACATAATTTGGCTTTCTAATAAAATGTATAAGCACTTGTATAAATATTTTATTTTCGTATGATCTCTGCCTTGCTGAGCAGAAAACGACCAAATTTGGTTGATAAAAATGTATCGAAATACGAAGAACATTCATTTTTGTATCAATTGGAATGTCTACTATTTATTCTTATCAGTACACATTTTTTGGCTTATTTCTAACCAAACGCTTTTGTCCCGCTAAATTTATCTTCCAACGCACTGTGCGCTCGTCCGTCAAATGCAAAAATAACTGTCACTGTCTAAAATCTTTAGCGCCAACTTCAACTCGGTCAGTAGATGACGTAAAAAAACTGACAGTGCAGGAAGATAGGAATCGAACTATCCTTATCTCTATATAGTATCCTTGGGAATGCCATCAATTGTCATTTCAAAGCAAGCCAACTCAACGCCGTTTTTTTCGATCATACGGTATATATCGTAAAGATATCAAGAAAAATTGTTTACTGTAGATCCCTCTTCTCAAATAGATAGGTAGTACTTTTGTACTTTTATCAATTACCAATTTTTCGGAAAATTAAGGGAAAAAAAGTAGTAAAAATAACTCATAATACAATAATTTTACTATTTCACAATAAATTGTAAAAACGGAAATTTATTTTAATTACGAGCAACTTTTCTTTATAAAACTTTCAATATTCTTTTATATAATCCCATGTTTTATTTCTTTTAAAGGTGTGCTTTTGAATTACTTTCATGACAGTTGAAACGTTTTTGTTATTAGGCAAGCGGAATTGATTTCTCACTTTTTCCCAAAATCCCATTAATTAAAAAAAATCATTTGTTGTGAATTTTTTGGTTGTCGTTTTATGTAACATTTTCTTTCTTAAATTTTCAGGTTACCTCTCATGGTATTCAAGGAAAATTTTGTGATCAATTTAATGGATATATTAATAATAGTTACATCAACAATCTTAAGAAAAGTATAACTGATTATCGTGAGGGACAACTATTACAATGTTATATTTTATACATTGAACCCGTTACTAATATAGCTCATTTATCATTATGTAATTTCAAGACTGCAGAACAGCCAAAAGATCTTAATGTTGGCGATTTATTAACCGGAGAAGTAAGAATTATTTTATTACATTCTTGTGTATTAAGTAGATAAATTGTTGGTCTCTCTAGTTGACCTTCTTTCTTGAGTTACAGCTCATCATACAGTCCCAGGGCTTTGACAAAAACCAGTAACAGAGACGGTTTTCCCCTGTAGTTGCTAGGTTCGCTCTACGATATCAGTCGTACCAAAGTTTCTGGTACGAATTGTTGTCGTCTCGGCGCAGTCAGTGATGAGATATTCTGGTGTTTTTCCATTTTTCCCACAGAATCTGCATTCGCCGTTGTTTCTTAGCGTCTGTGGTATTCATTGAGGATACAGTGTCCTATTAAAACTCCGTGACAATCCGAAGATTGCTCTTACTTAATCAAGAAAAATCTTTGATTTTTCTAGGTCGTCAACCCTGAGGAACTTCTGCGAATGTCTTAGACCGTTGGAAGATTCCCATTCCAGGTTATGGATGGAGTTCGTTAGGTGGTTTTCACTTGGGAAGCAGAACGGTTCTGGTCCAGTTAGTGGAGTGTTCGCTCTTTTTCTAGCTAGATCATTTGTTTTCTCATTTCCTACTATCCCTTGGTGGGCTGGTATCCAGTGTAGGAGGACTTTGTTTCCTTTGCCTAATTTGTTCAGCTTCTCTAGACATTCTTTAACCACCTTTTCTTCGAATTGATTGATAATGAGTTAATCGCTTTTAACGCTGCTTGACTATCAGATAAGATGGCTATTTCTTGTTTCCCATAGTTTCCATCTAAGATAAGTTGTACGCTTCTTTCGATAGCGTAGATTTCTGCCTGTATGATGCTGGGGTAGGTGTCCATTGGTTCGGAGTATTTAGTTCTCGACACAAATACTCTTATCCATGTTCCTGCTTTGGTTTTGGAAGCATCAGTATACCAAGTTATGGTATGGTCTTTTAACTATGTATGATGCTGGGGTAGGTGTCCATTGGTTCGGAGTATTTAGTTCTCGACACAAATACTCTTATCCATGTTCCTGCTTTGGTTTTGGAAGCATCAGTATACCAAGTTATGGTATGGTCTTTTAACTGTTGACCAAACGTTTCTCTCTTCTGATTATTTTTATTGCTCAATACTACATTGAGGTGTAGTCAAGTTAGTTGAGGTGTAGTCAAGGAGAGATGTAGTTGTAGTTACTTGAGGTGTAGTCAAGGTGTCTCAAAGTTGTACATTCTTGGTATCACGTCATCCACAAGGAGTTGGAGGAGTGGTATTTCCTTTTTGAAGGTGTTCGAAGCAGAAGTTGACTATTGAATGGTCAATGACCATTCTAATTATTGTCCCATTGGCATATCTACCGATGATAATGTGCAGTTATGTTAGGTCTAGAATGGCCTCCATTGCTACAGTTGGTCAGGTTCTTATGGCCTCTGTGATGCAGATGCATGCCACTCTCTGGACTTTGCACAGGTCTAGCCTTGCTGTACGTTATTCTAGTTGTGCGTACCAAGCAACTGCTCCATAGGTAATCATGGGTCTTATTATTATGCTATACAGGGTGGCGCCTCTCATACGACGCGGAGGCTTCAAGGAGAACGGTAGTTTATATCGAAATGAAACTTTGGCAGCATATGTAGGTTAATTGAAAGCATTTTATAAAAATATAGATATACAGCATGTGCATATATATATGCACCTCATTCGCCTTGGTTGATTATACGAAAACGGAAAGATGTAGAAACAAAATATTTTATGGGTATATGTGGGGAGGCAATGTGCACAATTTAAAATTATTTCGAAATATACAGGGTGTCTCAGAACTAAGATCCATACCAAAGTTATATTTTTTCTTATGGAACACCCGGTATTTTATTTCATTTTTGGATTCTTGGGCCCAAAAAAAGGCATTTATTATAGGGGTTAAATATGTTTAAATTCTTTGGTTTTTGAGATATTTAAAGATATTTAAATATGCATGCTACAAGATAATGGATTATTAACACCCTGTAGATTACTTTTCTCAGAATTAATTCTTGTGCTGAGTTTAAAGGTAAAGAAATAAACTTTACTGAAAAATATTATTGCTTGTTTAAATTTATACAGGGGTACCAAAAATTGGTGATCTATTTTAAGGATTTATTTTACATAAGAAACTTTATTTCACATGCAACGCCCTGTATTTTTTTTAAATAAATCAAAGCAGATTCAAATGCTCTTTCAAACTATATTAGGGTTTCCTATACCAATCTATCTCATATTTTGAATAAAAAGCGATTTTTAAATAAAATGGCAATCAAGATGGCTGGTATCGCCATGTCAATTTTCTAGTGACAGTTAGTAACTATTTTCAAAATCGACATTAGTTTATAGACTTTATTCAAATCTACACCAGTTTACTTTTATTTAATTGACCTACAATAGTTTAATAAATAATATTTATTAATATGTATTTATTATTCTATCAAGAAATCGAAGAAGTAGTTCTTTGTTTTATTTTACAATAACTTGTAGATATATGATTTTTTTTAAAAATTGTGCACATTGCCTCCCCACATATACCCATAAAATATTTTGTTTCTACATCTTTCCGTTTTCGTATAATCAACCGAGGCGAATGAGGTGCGCCACCCTGTATATAGAGTTATGCAGGGTGTCGCCAAAAAAAGTTACACATCAAAGTTGTGTTTTTTGTAATGGAACACCCTATATATTAACTGATTTTCGGATTCTAAGAAAAAAATTAAGCTGAGTTTGATTAAAAAGCATATACCTAAAATGTAAGGATTTTGACATATTTCACGTTTTGTGAAAATGAAGAGTAAATTTTAAATTTTTTAATAGCTACCTAAATTTTAGTTAACCTTGTATAGCCTGATATTTAATTACAGTAACCATTGTATGTTGGGAATTTATATATCTTCGAAATATTATTAAGGTTGCCTACACCTCAGACAGATTTTCCTAGATATTTTTATTTTTTATGATTTTGCGTCAGTAGATCTTTATTATTTGAAAAAATCTATGTGATTATGATATACCTTTTGTTAATTTAACAAAAATTTAAGGATGTAGAGTAAAATATTCAACGGTAATAAAAAGATACACGGTTAAAACATATTTTAATTATTACAGAATTAAAACTAGATATAAACCTATATTTATGAGACAAAAATTAGCTAGATAAAATCAAATGCTCAAAATGCTTCCTTCCCTGTTAACTGCATAAAATGATTTTCTTTTAAAAAGATCTTTTCATTTTAAAAAGCATGTGTGGAGTTCTGCTTCGAAAAGCACCTACAATTATTTCTCTCATGATGTCGTCAATAGTTGGTCCAGTTTTTTAAACACTGTCTTTACCATATCCCCATAGAAAAGCCCAAACTAGATAAAATCAGGACCATTTTAGTATTCTATTGTAACAGTCTTTTTTTCTAGAGAGCTATTACTAACGCCTAACAGTCGGTCTTTTTGTTCTCGGGCGCCACCCCCAAAGTTTAAAGTGTTTGAGAGACCACCTCGGCCAATACGGGTAGCTTTTCTACAGTGGAGAATCCAGAGAAATGGGGTAAAAGCCAGTTAAAGTCGAATATATTCCATAACGAGGTTTATTTAAATAAATTAATTATGAATCCAATATCTTCAAATAAATAAAATATGAAGAAAATACTAAAACATGAAATATCGCAAAATCTAACACAGAGAAATTAAGTCAGTTAATTACAATAGCAAATAATTAAGTAATTAATTATGAATTCCGTATCTTCAAATAAATAAAATATGAAGAAAATACTAAAACATGAAATATCGCAAAATCTAACACAGAGAAATTAAATCAGTTAATTACAATAGCAAATAATTAAGTTCATATGATTTAAATTCAAACCTGTAAAGAAATATTATAATAGAAAACTACTAGCAATACATATTCACATGCATCTTTAAATAAATCAAATATAAATCCAATATTATTATTATGGTAAAATAAAAGAGGAACCTTAATTAACTCCTCCTCCGTAAAGGAATTTTATACCATAAAAATAAAATAAAAAAACTCTACTGTGCTGAAACTAAAATTTCTGATTACTAGAACTCTGATGTGGTATCTGGCGGTTACAAAAAAAAAGAAAGAATGTGATTACCTTTTTTTTTATAAGTAGTAAATCGGCGTCGGATCAAACGAAACGGTCTGGTTTTCTGAATCGCCTACAGCCGCCCGGAATCCGGTCACACTACTTATTCACGGTCAGGTATAAAGAAAACTTAAGAAAATCGCTCTCAGATCAAAACGAAACGGTCTGGTTGGCTATTCACGGTCAGATATAAAAAAACTGAAACGCCCGGTTTTTAACTATCTATACTCATAAATCAGAAATACGGTTTAGACTTATTTTAAATCAAATCTCTGCGACCACGATTTATACTTATTTAAAATCAAAAACGCAGATACGGTACTTTTACTTTAAAACTCAAGAATTCGGTTTTTTACAGCAGCGCTGATTAAAAAAAACGGATCAGAATCGACTTAAACTCACGAGGTTTACTTAGAAAAGATCACCGGTACTTAGTCTCAACAGGAAGGCCCCGTTTTCGCGCTCCCGTCGCTTAAACAATCTTTCCCGTCGGGAACCACGAAATGAACCGAACCACGTTCGGTTACCATCGTCCTACGACCCATCAAGATTCCTTACAGTAAAAAAAAACGGTTTTTACCCGTCGATTCTACAAAAAAACCATTTGCTGTTTGTACCAAAAAAAAACTTCAACGTATCCATGCAAATCGACGAAATATTTAACACAATTTTATCAGCAAATAATAAAGTTATGTCCCAAGGCAGGATCGAACCCTAGCTCCTCTGTGTACCAGCGAAGTACTTTCGCTCCGATACAACTTTTGTCGACAAGAGTTGGTCAAGTTTTGTTATTTTTTGATACTGTTACATATCCGCATAAAAAACTCAGACTAGATAAAATCAGGAGCATTTAAGTGATGCCCCCCAGATGAGAATAGAATCATATAAATTCTCTCTGATGTAGGATAAGTTTGCATTTTTGGCAAATTTCTGAGAATTGTTTTTCTTTTAACTGACACAAAATGATAATTAGTTGTTAAAGTTGGACTAATTAGACAGCTATGTTGAAGTAACATCATACATATCACAGCCACCTAGATTTTCAACTAATAACGATCTACTGACACTAAATTATATAAATGAAAATATCTAGGAAAAACTTTGTTTGAAGGGTAGGCAACCTTAATAGTATTTTGAAGAGACATGAATTCCCCATTGAATATTGAAATAATATACATTATTATTTACCATTTAAAATAAAAAAATAACTTGCTTTTAAAGGTGACCAATGTTCAAAATTAATTTTGTCTCACCCTGTATAACTTTTTGGATCAAGTTTTAATTTGATTTAAAGTACAATAGTTAATTTAACTACATATTAGGCTACACCGGCTAAAATCCAATTCAGGTAGCTTTTATTGTAATTTAAAAATTGTTTTTTATTTTTAGAAAATATTAAATATGTCAAAAACTTTACATTTTAGTCATATGCTTCTCTTATAAAACTGGCCTTTATTTTTCTCCCAGAATCCGAAAATTAATTAATATATAGGGTGTTCCATTACAAAAAACAACTTTGATATGTAACTTTTTTTTGGGACACCCTGTAGAACTCTCTATATTTTTAAAATGTGCTCTGGATTAACCTACATATGCTCACAAAATTTCATTTCAATACATAAGACTGATCTTCTTAATCTGCCTGTTCCACAGAAGTTTACTGCCCAGGGTTATTCACAGATATTTGACTTTCTGCGATGGCAGTATTTTTTCCCATTTAGTTGGATTCTTTTCAACTTCGCTTTCTGGTAAATGGCACTACTGTAGTTTTGTCTGAGTTGATGCCCAGCCTGACAGTCCTCAGTGATGAGTCCTCAGCCTGACACATCTCTCAGTGATATGGAGTCCTCTTTGGATAATATCAAGGTGCCTTCGTGTTTCCCCCGGTCTGACTAGGTAAAAGCTTGAAAAATTTTATAATGTGCCTTGGGACAATAGACACTTGTCCGTGTTTTACCTAAGTCAAACATGCAATCTGTCAAATGCATTTGCCAATATTCAGGGTTTATCAATATTCTTATAATATTAAAAAGGTAACTTTAAGGTAAATAATCTCAATTATTTTCAGGTTATTAGTCACACGTACAACGGTATATTCTTTTTGTTTAAAAATAAATATAAAGGATTTGCTTCAAATAGGAGACTTACAAGTTCATTAACCAGAAACAATAATAAAGTAAGTGACGCAGTCAAAAAAAAGTATCCAGTTGGTAGTGTTCACCAATGCAGAATACTAGATTATAATCACGTATTGAATGCATTTATTTGTACAACAGAACAAAGTATTGTAAAAGCAGACATATTTCATCCAAAAGATTTAACTTTAGGACAATTGCTTAAAGTAACAATAATTTCAATCAAAGATGAAGGTCTTGTAGTTAAATTTAGACATTTAACAGGATTTGTTACTAATTTACATATAAGTGATTCAGCATATACCGATAATATTAAGAAAAAATACAAAGAAGATCAAAAGGTTACTTCCAGGTGAGTAATATTTAGAACGTTATATAGTTTACTACATTCAAATGAATTTCAGAGTCTTAAATATTGACGGGGACAAGGTTTTGTTTACTCTTAAACCCTCGCTTATAAAATGCGATAATTATCTAACAACGGTTGAAGATGCCGAAGTGGGAAAATGTTTTACAGGGGTTGTTGCTAAAATTCAAGAAACCGGAACCTTAGTTGCATTTTTTGGCAATGTAAAAGGATGGCTTAGTAATAAAAATAAAAGAAAAGATCAAATTAATGTCTCTAATTATTTTTTTATGGGTCAAGTGGTAAGCATATTGCAGTCTTCTTTTTCTATTTCTTTCTTATTTTTTACATATTTGCAGATTAAAGTGTATATTCGAAATATTGAAGGAACAAATATATTCTTAAGCTTAGATAAGCCCCAAGAGAAAGCGTTGAAAATCGGAAGCAAAATATGTGGTACGGTGAAATCTATTGTTGATGAAGGTATAAACATTACACTAGAACATAAACACACCAAGGGCTTTATTCCTAATAGTCACCTGAGCTCTTATCCGAGTTTGTGCGCTGGGATTAAAGGTATATTGATTAGCGATGGGAACTATCGAATGAATTAGACTATCGAATGGTTAATGAATGAATGATTTCAACTATCGAATGGTTTTATTCGAATAAAATCATTTATTCATTTGTATACTAAAGCATATGTGACAACCTCGCCGTGCGACTAAATGGTTATCGTTGAGCCACGACTATCGAATGCTTTTGATAAATGAAATGTAGTATTCGTTGGATTTTTGTATGCGTCGGTGCATTATTAGTTCTTCCAAATTTTTATAACTTCGCCGTATAAATACTGTGCTATTTTTGCGTTTATTAAAATAGTTAAAATACTAAAATAGTAGTTATTTTTTAATTTTATTTATTGACGATTGTGTCCATGTGCAGGTGGTCAAAATTTTTCCGAAAATTTGTGTGGTTTTCCGTAGTCCGATCTTTCAATTATTTAATTTTATATGGTATATGGTCTATTTTTTAATGGGAAATTTTGAGAAGTAGCAATTTTTAAGAGAGATGAGATGAACTTACAATTAATTTTAAAAATACATATTTGTATTTTAGATGTTTTAATAATATGAATTAGTTGAACTTAATAATCATATTTAAGTAATGCGGTTGTATAATCATATTTAAGTAAATGGTTATCGAACTCAAACTATGGGGTGAGAAAATTAAAATGAAAGTTTTACACGTGCCAATTTAAAAAAAAAAGTTAACAATGTTTATATTTTGTTTATGCTAATTCTTTTACATGTAGTTTTTTGCGAAGAAAAAATATTTCATTTATTTTTTAAAGTAAATGCCAGTAAAAGTAAATATAATTTTTAAATAGTAATATAAAGCACCTAATATAAATAATTTTGATTTCTAATTTTTTATTTATATTTTCCTTACATTACACTGCATGCTTAGAAAATTAATAAATGTTTATATTTCATGATTTTAAAATTTGTTGTTAATATAACAAATTAGTTCTGTAATTATTATTATTTAATAAACCACCGTTGCCAAAAAATTTAGAGACTATATTATTTTTAAATAGGATCTAATATAAATAATTTTGACATCTAATTTGTTGTTTATATTTTGCTACTACTTAAAAGAAAATATTTATATTAAATGATTTTAAATTTTGTTGTTAATAGGTATAACAAATTATTATTGTTATTATTATTTATTAAACCAGTCTTTGCTAAAAAACATTAAAAATAATTTTCCTACATCCAAAATAACAAGTATTATTGCAGTGTAACAACAGAATATTAAAAAAAATGCAGAATATATAGTATATATATTCTATTTATAGAATATATATTCCCTAATTAACTAAAATAATATTCTTTGCTAATATCAACTAATACCAAAATATGGCAACAGCGCCTTTCATAATGTATTTTCTGTGTAAATACTAGCACCTCAATAAAAAAAATAATGTGCCCTTATCTATATCTGACTCCGCAAAAAATCAAAGATGCCGGCTTCTTTCATAGCATTGCCACCGACCGCTGTCGGGTTTCTCGGAAAGAAACCTACGTCGCCGAGCGACAACTAAAATTTAGTTAATATTTTATTATAATCGATCCTGACGAATGAATGAATTTTATAAATGAATGATTTTTGCTGCCGAATTACTAGAATACAATATTTCAAGGCAGATGACGGATCTATTCGATAATTTTTATTCGAATAGTTTTCAACGAATGTTTTCTTACTAACTATCGAATTATTTGAATGAATTGCAACTATCGAATGTTTCGATAGTATTCATTCGATAGTTCCCACTACTAATATTGATGGATCTACTTTGATGGTACATGGGCTAATGAAAATATTTTATAGGTACGTTAAAACGTGGAAACAAAATGGTTAATTTGATGTATCTTGGAGGAAAGAATCCGCAATTGTTTTCAAGAAGCGAATCAATTCTATTGAAAAATAACAAAATACCAAAAGTAGATTCAGTTAATAAAGGGGATAATGTAAGATGCTTATATCATTCAAGATCTTCAGAAGGCATAACTGTTATTCCTTTATTAGTGGGATCAGCTAGTACCATTTTAATTCAACATCAGGTAAGATAGTTTAAGAAGTTATAAAATTGCTCTCAATTATAATTGATAACAATAATAAAACACAGATTAAAATAACAAAACGTAAATTAACTTATGAACAGAAGTGTGGCGTCATAATAAATGTTAGCTTCAATTTGTAAAAAACTGAAGTTTAAGAAGTTGGATTTTATCTGTTGGGGCATTACTGCGTGCTGAATACCAGTGGAGTGCAGTGCTAATCAAAGCAGGGTAGGCAACAATTTTGAAATTAATAAAATAAAAATAGCATAATTAATTAAGTAATCAACATAATTATTTCTGGCTATGAATTGGAGGACAAATTTCCAGATTTGGTATCACTGACGAAGTTAAAATCACACTTTACTTTTTTATTCTATCTCTCTTACTCGATAGGCTTCCAGTCGTTGCGGTCTGCAGAGCACGTGGAAGATTCCCAAAAGCGCAGCCTTTAATATTCCATCAATATAAAGTAAATAATTCCACCTTTGTTAAAATCTTATTGGAGTGCCTGTATGGAAAATATTTGAGAACTGCGCGAGTAGTAGTCTACAATAATTTAAGTATATCTTACATATCGCATAACCTCTAACGAGGGGTAGGGGACTCAAAACCTCACAATCTTTTCAAATTTTTATTTCAAAAATTAATTTTGGTTAAAAATGGGGCATGTTTTGAGAATCAGTTACCCCCCGTCATCAGGCCCAAAAAGACAAGTCGCGCCAAAAAGCCACACCAACTCAAAAGGCTCTAATGTCAGTATATTTGCAATGCGTGCCATTGGCGTAAATTGATGTTCACCTAAATATCAACAAATATGTGTTGCACTCATCACGATATTTTAATCAAAAAATTACAACTTTGTTTTTTACAAAATTGGTGAACCACTAAGATTTTTTTTCTATTTTGAAACAAGGTTTAAAGTGGTAGAATTGCTGCTTCATAAGGTAATAGGTATGCTAATTGTTTTTCGCCCAGACACATCTAATGAACTATAAGTATGCACAGACAACCAGACTAGAGTAGAGGTAGGCCATAATCAATTTTACCTGTGTATGTATCGCAGAAACTAAAAATGTAACAAAATACATGGTGTTCGGTAGTTCGGTTATAAAAATACAACTTTAATATTTTTTATTTAGTCGGGATACTCACCCGCACCCTAAAATTTCTAAAAATCTAATTATTTAACTGCAATTGTCGGGTCGAATCTTGAATAATCTCTATAAGCTAATAATGCAATAATTGTATAAATTTAAGTAAAAGACGGTTACATTACCTAATTTAAGAGAAAAAAATGTTTAGATATTAAATAGTGCTTAAGGTTCAAACAGTGATATAAAATAAAATAGTGATAATAAAAAAGTTGCAACGTCAATGTAAAGTATGGAACATCGTTGTTGCGTTCAGACAGTCAAAATAACCAATAAAATAAGATATATCGAACTCTTATTTGTTGTGTCTCTCAACGTATTAGAGTGTTTCTTAATTCTTTTAACCTACAAATATTTTCAGTTTGGATTTATTTTATTTTATAATTTTATTTAACTGCAAATTTACGTTGAATAAATAAGTTTACTGTAAATAGTAAGACTATTCTATACAATAGGCCTAATAAACTCAACTTTTATCAAATTTAAGCGTACTGCCTATGTGTAAATATTAGGGTGGGTCAAGAAAATGGACTATTTTTTTATTCACTTTGTCCAAGTCCCAAACCAAACCAACTCGTTAACAAAAAATCATTATGATACGAACAACTCATGGTTTAGTAGGAAATTCACTGTTTCTTCGTGTACTTGTGATTCACAGATTTTAAATAGTGATGGGCAAAACTGTTATTTTTAGATAACCGTTGAAACTGTTATAGTTATTTATAAAAAGCAGCTTAAAATAACAGCTTAAAAATAACAGGTTTCTTTATTTCCTCTTATAAAGATAATCCGGGGACATACTGTATAAACAAGGGTAATATCTAATTATAGTATTTCAAGAGATTAATTTTTCTTAGTGCCGTTCCAAATCATTTGAAGTCTGTATAATTTAGCCTTTACTTGTTTTAGTAGTTGAAAAGTAATATCTTTATTTAGTGTATTTTTAGTATCTATCATTTGTTGTACCATTATCTCTGAATAGCAAATTTGTTATTTGAAGAGCTTTAAATCGCAGCAAAACCAACGAATATACTTATTTATTATAATTATTTAAAATTAATATTATACTCAATGTGTTTGCTACCTTTTAAACAGTCTTTCCTAACATAGTGCCCAAGTAGCATCTATTTGACTTAGAACTAAATCTGACCTGAAGCGACGTCAGACTTTGTGCAAATTTAGGTCGGGTGCTGGTGATGCGACCTGTGACGTCGCTTTCCTATTAAAAGCGACGTCGTTGGATCCGAGTCGGTAAATCCAACGATCTGTCGACGTACAAAATAACAACGTAGCATTTTTATTAATTTCCCAACGTCGTTCCTACGTTGGCTTGCACGACGTACATATACTTGAACTAGCCCGACGTCTACCCGTTGTTCGAATAGGATACGTCTCACTGATAATCCCTAAAGTAACGTCCAATTATATTTTGTTGTATTTTATGTTCATATTTATAACCTAATTTACGTATCTCTATTTACGTCGGTAAATACAACCCATTAAGTAGCATTTGCGACCTAATGAACATCATGAACATCACCTAATAAAAAGTTTTTGTAAACAAACTTAATTTTTTTATTATGCCTAAAAAAACACGACGAAAACTAGAGAAACAAGAGGTCGAGGCTTTTGCAAAATAATAATAGTAGTAGTGATGTCTTGCCTCCACCCGTAAATGCTTTTTATCCGGAAGAGATGCTGCATTACACTGGTGCATCTTAATTTCATTTTTTAGCTTAGGAAACCAGCAGACCCCATCCTCCTCCGACATATGAGGTTAGGCTTAAAAAAGTGGCTGCCCATTTTTTTAAGAAGAAAACAAAGACAAAAAAAATACAGTTGCACAAATTCACAAATCACTGATACGCAAAGTGAGGTTACGTGGCGTACGCTGGAATTATATACGTCATAATACGATTGCCGGTCGTCCGGTTTGATGACTTCGGTCGTGTGAGACGACTAATGTTGGAGACCCGGTCGGAATTGGTATATTGGTAGTTCACATTAAGTCGGACACAGAAATCCGCCATTCTTAACACGTATCCGATTGTCAGCCATTTTAAAATGGTTTTTTGTTTTTAAAATGTATATTCACATTTCGATTTCTAGTAGAATAATATTGATAAGGTTGAGTTTGGGGGGAACCACAGTACAGTTTTATGATTAAACTAGCTAGAAAATAAAAAATATATTTTGCGAGTTACTTTTTTATAGATATTTTTATTTCATAAATCTACCTAATTTTGAAGGCGCTCGTTGTTTTCCGGAGTATTTTAACCAGATATATCAAGAAAGTGACTTCCGTTGACAAAACTGATGTCTGGAATAATGATTCAGAATTATTATAATATGAAATTAGATAGACACTTATAGTTATATTCGAGGAGTGATTATGAATCCATTTGTAATTAGGTTTTTATGTATTTTTGGTAGCGAATATGAAACCAAACGTAACGTAAGTGCTTAGCGACGAATTTTAACTGACTAAAATCCAACGTAATATGACGTTGGTAATTGGTAGAATTACATTCCCTATTAGGTCAGATACCGACGTCGAGGCGACCCGAATCTGTATTCCCCATTTAGGTGCAAATAAGGGTCGTCAGGCGGTCGAACCGACGTTGGTACCCGACGTCGGGTTTATTGAACGCGACGGATACCCGACGTTAGATAACGTCCAAATGCTACTTGGGTGTTTTTATTCTTATCACCATCTATAACAGTAATAGTCTTAGACAGTGGTAAAAATTACAAAACTATTACTTTGCAACTACTGTATTGTAATAATTTAAGACTGGGAAAATTTAGAAAAATTCAAAACTTTTTTTTCTAAAGCATTTCTTTAGAAAAATTATACATATTACTAAATAATTAATTAAATTATTTCCATTTTTTAATAGGTACATTATTATAATAAATAAATTATTATAATTAATTAATATTATAATATTATCACTAAATTTCTAAGCACCATTCACAATTTATTAAAGTAAATCTTAGTAAAATTGTCTTTGAAGAGTTTTAAAATGTAGCAAAAACAATGAAAGTATATATTTAAAGATATTAATAAAAATAACTAACTAACTGAAACTTAATAACTAAGTACTGAAACATACAGCGCCATAATATCTCGACTTCCGCCCGTTATGCTCGTAACAGGTTGAAAAACAATGTATCTAAAACAACTGATGCGTTATTCTCCAACCTGTTTCGAACCCCCATCGACAATCGACCGATGCAACAGCGTTGCGTTCCCACTCCGATTATCTCGACCGCCGCCTGTTATGCTCGTAACAGGTTAAAAAACAACGTATCTAAAATGACTTATTTTCTATACGTTATTCTCCAACCCGTTGCTCCTCCATCGACAATCGACCGATGCAGCGTTACTTTCCCACTCCTGTTATCTCGACCGCCAGACGTTATGCCCGCAACTGATTGAGACACCATTTTTGTAGAGCAGTAAATTTCCTACAAAACCATGAGTTGCAAGTATCTTAATGATTTTTTGTTAACGAGTTATAAAATTCATAAGAAAAAATATATCTGCCTTAAAATAATTAAATTTCAACCTTTAATAATTAGAATTCAATTTCCTACAAACAGAGTAGATACAGAGATATGAATTTTTCTTTCTAATAATAAGGAGGAAATAGAAAACTGAAAGATGGAGGACCTTCCTATTGAAATTAAGAGCTCATACTTGGAGAGAATTTTTTTGAGGTGTCTACCCACCTTTTTTTTCAGAGTAAAAAGTGAAAAAAATAGACGATTTTTTGTCCCACCCTAGTAAATATACAATATCCTTATTTTAATTCGCTGTTTGAACCGACCATTACCGTCCGATTTTCATTTTTAGCACATAACAAAAGAATTGGATATTTATCTTCTACAACCATACCAAGTTTTAGTATGCAATGTTTTACAAAAAAACGCGGATGAAATTAAACTAAGTATTAAGCTTAATAATATTTCCAACCAAAGTGTTGAGGTATGTAAGGTAAGGCATTATAAGAACAATAAATGCATATTTGATATTTTAGCTGCTCATGAATTCATTTAGTTCGTTTATAAATGATTATGGTATATTGCAAGAGTATGGTAAAAATAGTGGATGGGATATATGCCAGTACAAACCAGGTTATGAGGTTATTTGCCAAGTAGAAAAACTTGGCTCTGCAGGTGGATGTACGATCTCATTACCAAATGGAGCAAAAGGAATTGCAGTTCCATCTTTATGCCCCAGTAAGTGAAATAATATCGGATATTTTTTGACAAAACTTAGTGCCAATAATAAGTTAAATATATATTTAATAGTTTATAGTGTTTCTTCGTTTGCTTAAAGTAGAGTTCTCAATATAAAATCAACTCTGTGTGGAAATTAAAGTCAAAAACTACTATAAATTAAAACTAAAAGAGTTTCGGACTTCCATTGTCTTTATTTATTTTGCTTACACAACGTTTCAGTCAGAAGTACCACTGACCGAAAAAACCCAACCCAACTTTTAGTTTTAATACTGAATCATTGTCTAGCACATTCAAAGTACTATAAATTAATTTTCATTTGACAACATTACCAAAACTACTTTATAAAACCAGTTCTTGTTGAATATTTATTGAACTAATTTTAGTCAAGAAATACAGGTTTTATAAAGGTCTCCTAATGGCTGAATAGTTGAAATCCGTTACAAAATTAAAAAATAAAATATTTTATAGTGGCTTTTACTTAGATTTTACTTGAGGTTGATTTAATATACAGGGTGGCGCCTCTCATACGACGCGGAGGCTCCAAGGAGAACGGTAGTTTATATCGAAATAAAATTTTGGCAGCATATGTAGGTTAATTGAAAGCATTTTATAAAAATATACAGTATTATACAGGGCGTTACACATCAAAGTTGTGTTTTTTGTAATGGAATACCCTATACAGGGTGCTACAAATTCGAGGTACGAGCATTGGTTTGGAAACCGTAATAGATAGGAAGATAGTTAAATTGGGGCAAAGTTGCTCCTTGGGATGTTCACCAAGATGCCATCAAAAAAGTTTTAAAAATTTCAAGGCTGGCTGAGTTTTTTGGGAAAAACTGATTTTTTTGAAAATCAAATTTATTTTTTCCTGTCGTTAATTTTTAGAAAACAAAAAAACTAACTGCACATTCTCATAGCCACTTTATTAGGGCTATCTGATAGTATTTTTAGATTTACAAATTAGCTGATAATTTGTGAGATACAGAGGCCAACTTAATTTTTTTAAATACTGTCTTGCATTTTTTAATTGAGGTTTTGAAAGAACTCGGTCTCCTGGGTACAATGATATGCCACCTTTAATTTTTTTTTGTTTCGGATATTTAAACACAATTTATTTAATTTAATTTCAAGTCGGGCTCTGTTTTTTTTTTATTTTTAATCTATTCATCGTTGCAATACTGATAAGCTTTCAAACTTAACATTAACGTGGGAAAAAACATTAAATTCGGAAAATCAAATGCAATAAAATAATAAAAAATGATATAAAATAAATAATATAAAATAAATAATATAAATATAATATAAACAATCAAATCATTTCCCCGGAAGATGGATTGGAAATGGTAGAACAATATAATGGTCAGCGAGGTTCCTGTAGAAGAAGATACAGTGGCGGACAAAAGTATGGAAAGATTTTTTATTTCCTATTTTATCTCGCTCAAACAAATAATACAGCTTAAATATTTTCGTAGGCTAACAACCGCATAAATATATCAAATATTCACAAGATAATTTTTTATTCTACCTACATTGTTTATTTTTATCAACATATTTTGTTTACGCTTCGGACAAAAGTATGGAAAACTTTTTTCTTGTTCATATTTTTGCTGTTGTGATCGATTTGTTTAGTTTGATTTTATTGCAAAGGCAAGCAACATATTGTTAAAAATGGGTAAAAATAAGTATTTGTCTGAAGACTTACGCAACAGAGTTATAGAGTTAAAAAATAGAAGCGTTAAACAGTGTACAATTGCCAAATCGTTAATGATTTCAGAAGGAGCAGTTTCGAAAATTTTAAAAAAGTATCGAACATTGGGAGCTACAACTAACCGGCCAAAATCGGGGCGTCCCCGAAAAACTACCCCTTTATAGAAAAAAATCCATTAAAAAGATTTCTCTAGCAGACCCACACAAATCTTCCCGGCAAATAAAAGAGGAAATCTGTGACAATTTTAATATCAATGTTACTGATCGCACCGTGAGACGCACGCTTGTGTGAGGTAGGACTTCTAGGAAGAGTGGCCGTTAAAAAACCCTTGCTCTCAAAAAGAAATCGGAAGAACAGAATTCGGTTTGCTCAAAACCATTTAAATTGGACATCTCAAAATTGGAACACAGTGCTCTGGAGTGATGAGAGTAAATTTAAAATATTTGGTTCTGATGGTAGATCATTTGTGAGAAGGCCAGTAGGTAAAAGATATGATGCAAAGTACCAGAAGCCAACAGTAAGGCATGGTGGTGGTAGTGTTATGATCTGGGGGTGCTTTTCTCGAGCTGGGGTTGGTTCTTTAATAAAGATAGAGGGAAAAATGGATCGCTTTATGTACAGGGACATTCTGCAAAATAACATGTTACCATTTGCCGAAGAAGAGATGCCCCTAATATGGAGATTCCGGCAGGACAATGATCCCAAACACGCCTCACGATTGGTAAAAAATTGGTTTGTGGAGGCAAACGTGGATGTTTTGGAATGACCTTCTCAGTCGCCAGACTTAAACCCAATTGAACACCTTTGGGAGCATTTCGAAAGGAAAATTCGGTTAAGGGCTATTCACAATGCGACAGATTTGTGGGAGATACTCCAAGATGAATGGCAGAACATTCCTTTGGAAATTTGTCAAAACCTTGTGGATTCCATGCCAAGAAGATGTAAAGCAGTCCTTCAGGCCAAAGGTTACGCAACTAAATATTAGATTTTAGGATTTGTTTCTTTATAAAATTTTCTTTCCATACTTTTGTCCACAGTAATTTTTATGTTTTTTATTAAAAGAAAAATAAGAAATTATTTTTGAAAATTAAAACTAAATATCCATAAATTACAAAACGTTGTTTCATTTAATATATTTAAAATAAGTTTAAAAAGAAATTTACACAAAATATTAAAAAAAAATCTTTCCGTACATATGTCCATCACTGTATGTTCAAAGAGCTATAAATAAGATTGAACGAAAAATAAATTTGTGCATTAGGGAGGGTTGTAACCCTTTCAAACATGTTGAGCATTAGAAACTAGTTTGTAGAAGTTGATTTATTTATAATAACTACGATTAATATTATGCATATTATTAAATTGTACACTGAGATTTCAAAAATATAATAAGAAAAGTTAAAAATAATATCTTTAAATTGCTGACCTGGATATTATTTATTTGAGTCTTTCAATTTTTTTCGATTTTCCTTATTCAATTTTAATATAATCAGATTAAATAATTTAAAAAACCAAAGTCGGACTTGAAATTATTTTAAATAATAATTAGGTAAATAGTTTTGTTATTGTTAAAGTACCCAAAACAAAAGAAAAGTGTCAAGTGTGGCATATCATTTTAGTCAGGAGACTGAGTTATTTTAAAACTTGAAATAAAAAATGCAGGTCCGTATTTCAAAAAATTAAGTTGGTCTCTGTATCTCACAAATTATCAGCTAATTTGAAAATCTAAAAATACTATCAGATAGCCCTAATAAAGTGGCTATGGGAATGTGCAATTAGTTTTTTAATTGACTAAAAAGTAACGACAGGAAAAAATAAAATTGATTTTCAAATAAAAATCCGTTTTTTTCCAAAAAACTCAGCAATCCTTAAAATTTTTAAAACTTTTGATGGCATCTTAGTGAACATTCCAAGGAGGGCAACTTTGCCCTAATTTAACTATCTTCGTATCTATTACGGTTTCCGAGATACCAATGCTCGTACCTCGAATTTGTAGGACCCTGTATATTGATTGATTTTCGGATTCTAGGAAAAAAATAAAGGTGAGTTTTATTAAAGAAGCATATACCTAAAATTAGCGATGGGAACTATCGAATGAATTAGACTATCGAATGGTTACTGAATGAATGATTTCAACTATCGAATGGTTTTATTCGAATAAAATCATTCATTCATTTGTATACTAAACCATATGTGACAACCTCGTCGTGCAACTAAATGGTTATCGTTGAGCCACGACTATCGAATGCTTTTGATAAATGAAATTTAGTATTCGTTTGATTTTTGTGTGCGTCAGTGCATTATTAGTTTTTCCAAATTTTTATAACTTCACCTTATAAATACTGTGCTATTTTTGCGTTTATTAAAATATTTAAAATACTAAAATAGTAGTTTTTTTTTAATTGACGATTGTGTGCGTGTGCAGGTGTCAAAATTTTTCCGAAAATTTGTGTGATTTTCCGTAGCCCGATCTCTCAATTATTTTATTTTATATGGTATATATGGTCTATTTTTTAATGGGAAATTTTGAGAAATAGCAATTTTTAAGAGAGATGAGATGAACTTAAAATTAATTTTAAAAATACATATTTGTATTTTAGATGTTTTAATATGAATTAGTTGAACTTAATAATCATATTTAAGTAATGTGGTTAAGTAAATGGTTATCGAACTCAAACTATGGGGTGAGAAAATTAAATTGAAAGTTTTACACGTGCCAATGTAAAAAAGAAGTTAACGATGTTTGTATTTTGTTTATGCTAATTCTCTTACATGTAGTTTTTTGCGAAGAAATATTTCATTTATTTTTTAAAGTAAATGCCCGTAAAAGTAAATATTATTTTTAAATAGTAATATAAAGTACCTAATATAAATAATTTTGTTTTCTAATTTTTTATTTATATTTTCCTTCCATTACACTGCATACTTAAAATAATAAAGATTACATACATTTATTAATAAAGAAAATTAATATATGTTTATATTTCATGATTTTAAAGTTAGTAGTTAATATAACAAATTAGTTCTGTAATTATTATTATTTAATAAACCAACGTTGCCAAAAAATTTAAAGACTATATTATTTTTAAATAGGATCTAATATAAATAATTTTGACATCTAATTTGTTGTTCATATTTTGCTACTACGTAAAAAAAATGTTTATATTAAATTATTTTAAATTTTGTTGTTAATAGGTATAACAAATTATTACTGTTATTATTATTTTTATTAAACCAGTCTTTGCTTAAAAAACATTAAAAATCATTTTCCACATCCAAAATAACAAGTATTATTGCAGTGTAACAACAGAATATTAATAAAAAAAATGCAAAATATATAGACATACTATCCCTAACTAACTAAAGACAAACAATAATATTCTTTGCTAATATCAACTAATACCAATATATGGCAACAGCGCCCTTCATAATGTATTTTCTGTGTAAATACTAGCACCTCAATAAAAAAAATAATGTGTCCTTATCTTTATGACTCCGCAAAAAATCAAAGATGCCGGCTTCTTTCATAGCATTGCCACCGACTGCTGTCGGGTTTCTCGGAAAGAAACCTACGTCGCCGGGCGACAACTAAAATCCAGTTAATATTTTATTATAATCGATCCTGACGAATAAATGAATTTCATAAATGAATGAATTTTCTAAATGAATGGTTTTTGCCGCCGAATTACTAGAATACAATATTTCGAGGCAGATGACGCATCTATTCGATAATTTTTATTCGAATAGTTTTCAACGAATGTTTTTTACTAGCTATCGAATTATTCGAATGAATTGCAACTATCGAATGTTTCGATAGTATTCATTCGATAGTTCCCACTACTACCTAAAATGTAAGGATTTTGACATATTTCACATTTTGTGAAAATGAAGAGTTAATTTTAAATTTCAATAACAGCTGCCTAAATTTTAGTTGACCTTGTATAGCCTGATATTTAATTACAGTAACCATTGTATGTTAAAGCAAATTAAAATTTGACCCGAAACGTTATACAGGGTGAGACAAAATTAATATGGAACATTAGTAACTTTTAAAAGCAAGTTATTCCTTTATTTTAAATGGAACACCCAGTATATTACCAGGTAGGCAACCTTAATAGTATTTTGAAGAGACATGAATTCCCCATTGAATAACGGAATAATATACTGGGTGTTCCCTTTAAAATAAAATACTAACTTGCTTTTAAAGGTGACCAATGTTCAATATTAATTTTGTCTCACCCTGTATAACTTTTTGGATCAAGTTTTAATTTGATTTAAAAGGATTTAAAGTACAATAGCTAATTTAACTACATATTAGGTTATACCGGGTAAATTCCAATTTAGGTAGTTTTTATTGTAATTTAAAAAGTGTTCTTTATTTTTAGAAAATTTTAAATATGTCAAAAACCTCATTTTAGTCATATACTTCTATTATAAAACTCACCTTTATTTTTCTCCAAGAATCCGAAAATCAATTAATATATAGGGTATTCCGTTAGAAAAAAACATAACTTTAATATGTAACTTTTTTGGGGACAACCTGAAGAACTCTCTATATTTTTAAAAAGTGCTCTGAATTAACCTACATATGCTCACACAACTTCATTTCATTACAAACTGTTATTCTCCTTGGAGCCTCCGTGAGGTATGAGAGGCGCCACCCTGTATTTAACCCATGTTTTATATGAAAAAACTTTTTAATTGCATTTTTATTTTTAGAGGGCGTTAAGGAAAACGACACGATAAAGGGAATAGTTTTATCCTACGATTTTGATAAACATTTTGTGGATATATGTCTTAGACCAGATATAATCTCTAAAATAAATAAAATACAAAATGGGTCTACGAAATCAACAATACCCTCTTCAATAGCAGAAAAACTTTTGGTAAAAGGTGAACATATTGTTGCTGTTCTAAAACATAAAGAATGCAATAAACAGTTAATATATTTGCCTCTTAGAATACCCGAATTTAATTTTGCGGGATGTGATTCATTTTATTTAAATAAGAGATTTAAAGTTTGTATTTGCAGGTAAGTTAACATAATATAAAAATAGCGTAAACTAGAGTAGATTCACTTTTCCTCAAATCTTTTTTTTTTCTATTTGTGCCACATTCTACGGCTTTGCTTTCGCGAACCGGACAACGGAATAATAACACCACAGCCGGAAAAAGGTAGTGAGGCACTATTAGTATAGGAAAATATGGACAATAAAATAAATATTTTGATAGTCATTAGATGAAAAATTGTGAAAACGGAATATTTTTACCTTTCATGTAAGCAATAGTACCTCTGCATCTTGGAAGATGAGAAAGCGATCAGTTTTTTACCTAAATCGTCTTAAACGTTTGAAGTTTCTCACAACGCGTAAAAACAATTTTTATCATAATTATGTAATATAATATTATTATTAGCTCACGGGTTAAATGGGACTGCTTTTGGTGACAAAAAGATTTTTAGGATAAAGCCACGTAAAATTCTTTGCATATATGAAGGGAATAAGTCGATTATTTCACTTACCTTTCATACATTGTGTCAATTTTAAAACTTCCCACCATTAATATTTCTCTTGCAGTTAAAAATATGAAAATTGGGAAAGACACGTCAATTTTATTTATAAGGGGGACAGTTTAAATGAATAAAATTAGCCTTTTTCGTTCAACCTCCTAGGTGGGGTAGATGTCACCCTTACAATCTTAAATGGGAATGGATGTCAAGTGGCACATTCTTAAAACATAGCAGATGGTTTTTATATATAAAAACCATCTGTTATGTTTATTGAATTACTGTTACTGAGAACAAAGTATACATTTAGGAATTAAAATATAAAAAATGGGGGTTCTGATTCCATAATTCTGACAAAAAACTTATTTCATAATACTGACACTTCGAAGAACATTTGAGACTCAGTTTTCCTCAACGGCGTTTAGGGGACATGCAGAACCCCTTTGCAAGTATAAAAAATTAATTTTAGTTGATTAACTGCTTATTGGATAAATACCTTTTGGACCTGTTTTCACCTATACTGCAAAGGATCTAACTTGTTATAGCAATCCATTCTTGGATCTAAAGAGCACAGCTTATCACATTTACAATAATTCATTGTATCTTTATTATTAACTCAAAGTATGTCCTGAGTAGATAGAGTTGCGCAAGGTCCTCAGTTGGAGGCTAAAAAGCTAAATTATAGGTAGGCTTAATAGCTAGCATTATATGGAGTGTATCTCAGATGATTAATACTTTTTATATTGCTTGACACAGTTTTAAAATACAATAATTTAATCCTGACTCCTGACTAAAACAAAGATCGGAGATGGCTTAGAAATGAAGATCGCCGTAATTTTATATGTAAAATTATATACCGGGTGCGTCTCAAAAGTGGCTCACCCCTATAACTTTTTTATTTTTTCAGATAAAAAAACGAGATTTGGTATGTTAGTATATGACATAAATTGTGATTGATTGACGTATTCAGTTGTTTTCAGTCACTTCCTGTTTTACCGGAAATGACTACAACTTTTGATTTTTAAATGGCACTCTCGGTATTTTGTTTACTTTATTCGATAGAAAATGACATTCTGAACAGAATAACATATTATATGTCAACTTTTGACATTTTCGAATATGGTTAATTTGAAATTATAACTTGCTGTTCGCAACGAAAATTTGACTCGAAAAACCAAGTGTATCAAATTGTTCATAAAAAAATGCTTTTTTCAAATATGCTAATGAGCCACCCTCGTTTCATTTGAAAAAAAATGAGATATGATTAGAAATACGATATGAGCATTTTCTAACTGGCCAGGACAAGACACTAAAAACATTAGACGATCCAGTCTATTTTTCCATGGCTCCTTGATTGAGAATTAGTGTTTTTAACACAACCATGGCACTCTAGATTTAAATTTAAAATACAATTTTTTATTAACCGAGAATGTCAAAAGTTGACATATGATATGTCATTCTATTCAGAATGTCATTTTCTATCGAACAAAGCAAAAAAATACCGAGGGTGTCATTTAAAAATCAAAAGCTGTAGTCATTTCCGGTGAAAGAGGAAGTGACCAAAAACAATTGAATACGTCAATGAATACTGACTTATGTCATATACTAATGTACCAAGTCTCGTTATTTTATCTAAAAAAATAAAAAAGTTATAGGGGTGAGCCACTTTTGAGACGCACCCGGTATATGGGGAATGTCATCGATTATCATTTTCACGTCATTTTTTGGATCATACCGTGTCCCAGCGCGGCGTGTAAAAAAAATAAAATCATATAAATATAGATGTTCGCCTTCGATGTCGGTCAATATATCGGGTGCGTCTCAAAAGTGGCTCACCCCTATAACTTTTATATTTTTTAAGATAAAAAAGAGATATGGTATGTTAGTATATGACATAAATTAGGACTGATTGACGTATTTAATTGTTTTTGGTTACTTCCTGTTTCGCCGGAAATTACTACAACTTTTGATTTTTAAATGGCACTCTCGGTAATTTTTTACTTTATTCGATAGAAAATGACACTCTGAATCGAGTGACATATCATATGTCAACTTTTGACATATTCGTTCAAAAACAAATTGTATTTTAAATTTTAATCTAGAGTGTCATGGCTGTGTTAAAATCACTAATTTTTAATCAAGGAGCCTTAGAAAAATAGATTTGATCGTCTAATGTTTTTAGTATCTTATCCTGGCCAGTTAAAGGATGCCCAACTCGTATTTTTTATCATATTTCAATTTTTTCAAATGGAACGAGGGTGGCTCATTAGCATATTTGGAAAATGCATTTTTTTTTACGAATGATTGATACCACACACTTGGTATTCCGAGTCAAATTGTCGTTATGAACCGCATTTTACAATTTAAAATAAACCATAAGCGAAAATGTCAAAAGTTGACATATGATATGTCATTCTATTCAGAGTGTCATTTTCTATCGAATAAAGTAAAAATATACCGAGGATGCCATTTAAAAATCAAAAGTTGTAGTCATTTCCGGTGAAACAGGAGGTAACCAAAAACAATTGAATACGTCAATCAGTCCTAATTTATGTCATATACTAACATACCAAATCTCGTTTTTTTATCTGAAAAAATAAAAAAGTTATAGGGGTGAGCCACTTTTGAGACCCACCCGGTATATTAGTTGAACCGCTTTAAGATAATTAAGTTAAAATAATAAATTACATGCAAATTCGTAAATTAATTGAAATATTGCCGCTTTGCGAGTTACTAACGTTTTTAACTTTATTTTAGCAAGGTTGATGGAAAATTTGTTGGAATTGCCAAAAAATTGTTCATAAAAATGGATAAATCATTAGATAAACAACTTCCTGTCAAGAATAACACCCAAAAAATAAAACCTAAAAATAACGAAGTTGTTAAAGCTGTAGAAGAACATGCTGTAGAAGCTGTAGAAGAACATGCTGTAGAAGCTGTAGAACATAAAATCGAGCTGGAAAATATAACAGAGACTGAAACTGTTAATAATGTTATAAATAACGCTGTTGAAACAGATTTACCTGAAAAACATATACCTGTTGTTTTACCTGGAATTACGTCGTTTTTTAATTCGTCTAAACAGGAAATATCTTATGATGATTCATCGTCAGATGAAGCCAGTAATGTATGATACGAAAACCATTAATGAGAAACGTTTTTATGTACCTAATTCTTTTTTAAAGGAACCTGTTCAACCAAAAAAGAAGAAAATATCTCGTGATGAAAGAAATGCAGAACGTTTGAAACAAGAAGAGATTATTTCCAAAATTGAATTGAGTCTTGCCGACACGTCAAAACCTCCTGAAAGTGCAGAAGAATTTGACAGATTGCTTTTGGCTAATCCTAACTCGTCCGAACTTTGGATCAAATACATTAGCTTTCATATTGCTGTAAGAATATTTATTATAAAGGGTGTTTCTTAATGACATGCTAATATTGATATACAAACAAAATTTTTGTTTGTATCTCTTAATTTCCATCCAGCCGATTCAGAAACGATTTTTAGCCTCAGCGTCAGGTTTTTAGCGATATGACCCTGAAGTAAAATGATTTTATTTTTTTAAGCACAAACTACGGGTCGTACGAAAAAAATCAAGAGATGAAAATTGTCTAGAAATAAACGAAGATTTTGAAAATAATTTTTATTTTAAGAAAAGCCAGTGGGGCGTACCATATTTTTTTCCAAAATATTCAATGTAAAACCCGTATGGACGCGAAGTAATTATGAAAAAAGGTGCTATTTTAAAAACTTTTACCACCCTGTATCTCAAAAGTTAAGATGTTTAGAACATAAATTCGTATAAAGTTTTTTTCTTAGAATATGTTCAAAAATTACCCCCTTAAATATTAGCATCTCATTAAGGAACACCCTGTATACTAATTATGGTATAATCATGGTATAATTTATACCGCATGATCGCAAAAAAAACGGCGTCCAGTCGGCTTGGAAATGACGATGGACGGCATTCCCCACATAAATTTACATGTAAAATGACAGCGATCTTTATTTCATAGCCATCGCTTTCGCAGTTCTTTTTAACACAGTAATAATTATTATTTTAACATGTAAAATCTATTTTATTAAACGTTAATTCACTATTCCTTGTATTATGTTGGTTTAGATTAAAAATTTAATCAACAAGAATTTCAAATAATGCTTGAAATTAACTCATTAAATTATAAAAATTGAAATAATAAAAATTACATTTTTTACAGGCAACAGAGGTAGATAAGGCCAGATCGATAGCCAAAAGAGCATTAGATTCAATTAATATGACTTATACAGAAGAGAAATTTAATATTTGGATTGTGTTATTAAATTTAGAAAATGCATTTGGTACTAAGGTAATTTATATTTAATTTATTTTAAAGGATTAACTAGAATTTGCTAAAAACCCACAAATGAAGGATAAGGGGAAGAACCGACGATGTCCATTTTAAGAAATTTTATTATACAGGGTTGTTCACCACATACGACACGGAGTATTGTAGCTAAACGATTAGATTTTTACAAATTGTAAGTTTTGGGTTCATTGAAGGACTATTAGAGCTACAATTTAAAAATATTTTTACAAGATACAGAGTGTCTCAAATAAGTAAAAAATATTATAAATGTATTTTTTTAAACGGAACACCCTGTATATTATTCTATTTTGGGATTCTACGATCGAAACAAAGGTAAATTTGATTAAGGTTTATCATACTTAAACCTTACCGTTTTTGAAATATTTTCAATTTTATGAAATTCCAGTAAAAATTTTAAGGCTTCATTTCTCCAAGGGTATCAAAGTTTTTAATGCTAAATATTTACTGAAAATTATTCATTGATTAGATATTGTGTTGCAATAATAAAAATTTTTACTGCCTTATACAGAGTGTCCAAAAATGTATACTAAATAATTACTAGCTTTAAACGGCAATAACTTGGTTAATTTAAATAGAACACCCTATATATTTTACCCGAAACGGATGCACAATTTAATTGTCTATCAAATTGTATTATACCATTTTTTACCTATCTCTTCAAGTTTTCATAGAAAATGCCTTTTCTTATAATTTAGACCTCATTTATCACTATTAGGGAATGCAATCCCGCAAATGCTGGATCCCGCAAATTTGCGGGATCGACACCAGGGGATTCCCCTTACGACTTGGCCATTAAAAATAAGTGAAACAAACAGGTTAGTTATTAGATTTCTTTCTGGCTTGACGTGAAAGTGACGAAAAGCGTTTAACTATACTTGTGGACAATTTCGTCAAATAATCTGCCGGACATAATTATCGGGACAAGCAAAATTTTAGGGTAAATTTAAAGTTGAATATCCCTTGAACTAAAAAAGATTTTGGGATGCGGTTTAGACCAAGTACGACCATTTTTACCAAGTACGACTAATCTGTATTGAAATTAGAAAAAACAATTTGATCGGTTTTTTATTTGTTTTTGTTTTAAGGAAAATACGACGTTTTTTCGAAAAATATGCATTTTTAGTCATACGATGGTCCTAAATGGTACAAAAAGCTTTGTACATTCTGCATATGCCAACAAATTATTGATATAGAGTGCATCTAAAAGCTGATAACTAACACAAATTGAAAAAAAAACCTTCAACATCAGAATAATACTTTTATTTATAAAATAAGTAGATAAAAATTAAATAAAATTTAAGCTTATTTAATATTAAATATATTTTTTTAACACCCTGTATACACCGGTCCAAATTTCTGGTCAGCTAGTTTAAGATAAACGCTATATCAGTATATTGTGGGCCTATGCAAAATGTACAATGTCTTTTGTACCATTTAGGACCAAATGTATGACTATAAATGCATATTTTTCGAAAAAAACTCGTATTTTCCTTAAAACAAAAAATTTAAAAAAACACCAAATTGTTTTTTCTAATTTCAATATAGATTAGTCGTACATAGTTAAAATTTCGATTTTTCAAAAATTGTAAATTTTCGGTAAAAAAAATTCTTGATCAAATTTGTACACTATTATAAAACACTCTGTACGAGAATTCGCTAAATATATTTTCGAAAACCACATAGCATCTTAATCACAATCGATGCGTCTAAAACCTGGTCCAAACCTCATCCCGAAATCGGAGAGAGAAAAGAAGAGCATTTATTGTTTACAATCCCGCAATTTTACGGATCCGCGGGATTGATTGCTTTAATCCTGCGGGTTTGCGGGATTAAGATTTTGGTGCGGGATTGCATTCCCTAATCACTATACCCATGGAATATTGACATTTCAGATTTTTTATAGCACCATATATGTACAAAATGTACAGGTGGTAAATATTGCAAGTTCATTGGCATAGAAAAAAAACTATTTAATCTTTGTAAAAGAGTATACCAATTAATTATACCACCATTATTTCCGACCAAAAACACCAAAAATTAGTTAATTACATACTTTTAAATTGTTTCAATTAAAAAAGTATTCTAAATAAATGTGCATTTGGCCCAGAAATCAATATAAAAATAAGCTATGAAAATGAACGTCTTTGTTTCTATAAATAAGCATTCGTCAAAAAATGTAATAAAATTTATAAGGTGTTACTTTTTCCACACTGTCTAATACACACACAAAATTCAGTTTTTTAGTATTTGGAGCAATTATTATTAATCAACGTAAACAGTCAATTAATGTAGTTTGAATACTGGGATCATATTAATTGGTCCTCTTTAACAAAAAATATTTAAACGGTATTTTTAATTTTTTAATTAAATAAGCCACTATATCGACAGTTTTAGTAACCCTTTGAAAATTTGTTACATCTTTAAAAATAACCTAAAATGTCAATATTCCATGGGTATAGTGATAAATGAGGTCCAAATTATAAGAAAATTAATTTTCTATGAAAACTTGAAGAGATGGGTAAAAAATGGTATAATACAATTTGATAGACAATTTCATTGTGCATCTGATTCACTTAAAATATATAGGGTGTCCATTTAAATTAAACAAGTTATTGCCGTTTAAAGCTAGTAATTATTTAATATGAATTTTTGGACTCTCTGTATAAGGTAGTAAAAGTTTTATTATTGCAACACAATATCTGATCAATAAATAATCTTCAGTAAATATTTAGTATTAAAAACTTTGATACCCTTGGAGAAATGAAGCCTTAAAAATTTCACTGCAATTTCATAAAATTGAAAATATTTCATAAACGGTAAGGTTTAAGTGTGATAAACCTTAATCAAATTTACCTTTATTTCAAACGTAGAATCCAAAAATAGAACAATATACAGGGTGTTCCATTTAAAAAAATACAACTATAATATTTTTTACTTATTTGGGACACTCTGTACCTTGTAAAATATTTTTAAATTGTAGCTCTAATAGTCATTCAACGAACCCAAAACTTACAATTTGTAAAAATCTAATCGTTTAGTTACAATACTCCGTGTCGTATATGGTGAATATAATAATATATATACAGGGTTGTATATAATAATATATATACAGGGTTGTATATATATTATTTTTGGAATACCAAGTTCCAAAAATTCAAACACATGCTAAATTGTTAATTGAATATAACAAACTATATCCAAATAATAACGCATACAGTAATAAATGTGTGTATCTTTAACATAGTATTTGGCAACATTAAATCATCGTTTTCTCCGTAAGTCGGTTTTGTGACGTGAGTTTTTCCCGTTGCCCTTCAAATATAATTTTTTTAGAGACATTAGAATTTAACGTTAAGATTTATGAACATTTATGGTATTTCAGGAATCTTTTGATAGAGTATTAGATGAAGCTTTAAAATTTAATGAACCTTTAAACATATATTTGAGGATAATTCAGATGTTTGCTGAAGAAGGTAAATACACTGAAATGGAGGAAAAAGTTAAGAAAATACGAAGCAAATATAAACAGGACCAATTGATGTGGTTAGAGCTGGGGAAGATATATTATCAGATAGGCAAATATAAAGAAGCAAGAAATTGTAAAGACAGTGCACTTAGATCATTAGCAGACAAAAAGACACGTAAGTAGCAAATTGAATATTATGAAATAATAAAATATATTTCGGAAATACATTGTAGAAATGAATATCATTGTGCGTTTTGCGATACTAGAATTTAAATATGGAGAAGTAGACCAAGCTTGTGCAATATTTGAATCAATTCTAACAACAGATCCAAGAAAAGTAAATATTTGGATTACATATGTAGATCAGTTAATTAAAAAAAATCACATTGAACAAGCTAGACAAGTGTTGGAAAGAGCGGCATTGCAGAAGTTACCATTGAGGAGCATGAAATCTCTATTCATGAAGTTTAGAAAATTTGAAGAAGAATATGGAACTCCCGAAAGTGTAAATGTTGTTAAAGATAGAGTTCAAGAATATATTGTAAGTCTTGAAAAATAAAAATTATATCTAAGTTACATAAAATGCCTTTTTTTCTCAACGCTTGAAGTTATATTTGTCTGTGTATTAATATTCTATCCTCACCCAAGGTGTCATTAATCTAAGAAAAATGCAACATAAAACTTGTCTGTCCTCTTGAAACACTATAAACAAATTTCCGGAAACTGAACAAGCGGCACTCAAAAGTTTTTCAATATTTTTCGGAAGATTTCAAGAATAATTTAAAACTTTCAATTTTTTTGCAAAAAAACTCATGGGAGTTTTTCGATAATTATTGGGAAAACTGGACATCGTCCGATTTTCACCAAAATTGGTATACACCCTATTTTGAGGTCGTGGATTACAAATCTGAACTTTTTTTCGGTTTCTTACCGTTTTTCAGAAAAACGAAAAATTATTTTAACATCGATTTTTTCTTAATTTCTCATATTTTTAAGGTTTTCTAGCACATATTTTAGGTATTCAATAAACAATGATGTTTTTGCTATTTTTTCTGTTACTTTTTTTAACCAATTCGATGCATAATAGAAGAAAATTTGCTAAAATAAATTTGTAAACAATCTGAAAATGTTGGGTTATGTGTTTCTGGCGTTTAAAGCAACGTTGCCAATGCTAAACTTAAATTTAGCGTGTTTTTTTCGCTCATTCTGGGATTACGAAAGACGGTCTCCAGAAGAACGGCTCCTTCCCATAACTGCTATTTTACCAACGAGATCTGACTATTTATAACCACGAAGTTGAACAAAAGAGTTTTGATTGCATTGGTTACAACTTCCATGCGGTGGGTGTTAAGCTTTTGTTGTTATATTATATCAAAAAAAAAGATTAACCCCCTCCGCAAAGAAGTTGAAACCAATGCAATCAAAACTCTTTCGTGCAACTTCGTGGTTATAAATAGTCTTAAGAATAACTTCTTTGCGGAGGGGGTTAATCTTCTTTTAATATAATATAACAACAAAAGATTAACACCCTCCGCATGGAAGTTGTAACCAATGCAATCAAAACTCTTCCGCGTAACTTAACTATTGTCAAATATCATAACAGGTAATTTATTTAAAATCCCTAATCACCCGAAAAAATAAGAAGATATGGCAACGTTGTAAATTTTCAAATTTCTAGATTAGGTCTAGAATATATTTGTCTCTCTCATTACATAGGAGAGAGAAAGGAGGATATATGAATTGTCAAACTTCCATCTGGTCTCAATTTTCTTTGTTATTTTGTTAAGAAAAGTGTTTTTCAGTAAATTTTTGGACATTTTTCTATCCTCAATCAAGTGTAGCTTTTAGATAAACTATAATGTAATGAAAATATAATGAAATTATTACTTTATAGGGCCGAAATAAAGAAAAATTCAATGTTGAAATTATTTTCCGTTTTTCTGAAAAAGGGTAAGAGACCGCCAAGAAAAAAGATTCAGATTGGTAATCTACGACCTCAAAAGAAGCTGTATACAAATTTTGGTGAAAATCGGACGATTTCCAGTTTTCCCAATAATTACCCGTTTTTCTTGGGTCGAATTATATTACCAGTTAAAATACTTGCACTTATTTCTGGGACACTCTGTATAACATTTTTTAAATAAAACCAACAAGTCTATAAAATGGTATTTTATGTCACAGGGTAGCTAAAAAAAAGGTTATTTCCAGATTTTTCAAAGTAACATTTTGATTACTTAAACCATTCCTTCAAATCATGATTATTTTTCAATGTACTTAAACTGCCGTTAAACGGTAGCCTACTAAGATGCCGTTAATAGATATGACGTCGTTGATGTCGGCGGAAAGTAACGCCTAGCTATAGGCAGTTTTGCAAGAGCACCTGTGGCTCCGTGACTGAGGTCGACTGGTGACTGAGGTGACTGGTGACTGTGGCTCCGTTTGCTTCGTGAGCGAATAATCCGTGGTTCAAATCTCACGCCGGACCAAGACTTTTATATATTTTTTTGCTTATAGCGTGATTTGATTGTATTGGTTTCACTCTTTTTGATTGGATTGGTTTAGTTATTTGGCGGGTTGGTTAGCGTGGTTATTTGGAGGGTGTTAATTCATTGGTTAGTTGGTTATTTGGTGGGGTTGGTTGGTTTTTACTAATTTATATTTGTTTTTTATATTTTTTTACCAGTGTCGAGGATAGTTGCGTTGGTTAAGTTGGTTATTTGGTAGGGCGAATAGCGTTGGTTAGTCCTTATAAAATGGGCTCTTTCACTATATTTTGGAATTAGCATAATTGAATAAAACAATTAATTCTAGAATTTTCTGCTATCTCACTTTCGAAAAATTTGAAGTGGTTCTTAAGAAAATAAATAAAAACAAAAAAGCCCAGAATAAAAATCCGTACTTTATTTTTAATACGTCACACCTGGCATGTTGAAAAGCGGCAACACGGCCGCGGCCGGGCCACCATGCTGACCCATCACCACCTCCACACAAAGCCATTCAACCTTTTCCAATATGGCGGAGATAGAAGTGCTTTATTTGGCGCGTATTTTAAAACCTGCTTTGTTTCCAAATAGACATTTTTCACACAAATGTCGGGTTAGATTACGTAATATTTCACTAATTTTTAATTTACAGGGAGTCAAAGTTCTCCACATAAGTATGGAATTTTTTGTATTATTACTTTTATGAAAACATCAGTTAGTTACTTTTTATAAAAAGGTCTGCTTTCTCAGAAAATAAGTAGTGTTAAAACATTCAAACAATTTACACAAATGGGAATAAATTTAAGCTATAATAGATGAGGATAAATTAAAAATATAATATGTGTTTCAAGATTTTATATAGAAAAAAAAATTAAATACCTTACGCTTAGCTTAGTTTTCTTTACTCTTTCTCTTTACATAGGGTATTGTCTTTGTGGTAAAGACGTCATTCCTTTTTTTGCATAGTTCTTCAATAAAATATATTTGATTTCTGAACAAGATGGATTTAATAATAAATTCTGACGTATGTGAGGGGCAATTGTGACCTAAAAAAAGACTTACATCCAGGCAATTTATATTTTCAAATGTCAATGTTCTCAATATCTTTCTGTGATCTTTTTGATGTAAAAAGCTTGATTCTTCTTCCAATATTTTACTTATAGTGAGGTAAGTGTAAGTAGTAGCCTCACTAGGGTAACAGAGGCTTTGGCCTTTAGCCTTTTTGAGGCATATTTAATGCACTTCTTACCCGAGAACTACTAGTAGGAGTGAAATAATCTCTTTTAATAGCTGCCAACCATTTTTTACGAAGCTCGTCATTTTTGGGGAATATAAAAGCAGAAACCTTGGGACCCCCTCTATAATTTCCGTTACAATTTGGAACAGAGCATGTAAAAGGCATGCTACAATAAAATGTTAATACCTACCCTTTAATACCTATCTTTTGATTATTGTAAAAGTAACCATTATAAAGTACTATGCAGACTGGCGGCGAAGGCTTTTTACTCATTTAGGTGGAATATCTTGATAAATACTTCTAGTTCTCACCTTAAAATAATTAATAATAGAGGAGTACGACAAGCACAAAAGTTTGAAGTTCTCTATGTGGAATGTCTGGTTTGGATTTTTATTACACTGTTATTTTATCACAATTTTCTGATCACACCATGCACTGAACACTAAGAACTAAACAAACGTGTTGCAGAAGCACACAAACTAGAGATAATTAATTATTTCTGGTATGCAATCGGAACGAGAAACCACTACCGGCTTTTCAGGTTAAAGGTAAACAATTTAATAATGCGCTGCCTTCGCCGCCATATTTGCTTTGCCCATATCATGTTGATTGGCCTTGAGTTGAGGTGGTGCTGGTCAAATCAAATCGCAATGTTGCCAGTTGTTGGCTGGCGCACGAGCACGGTTCTGCAATGTGATTGGGTGTATTTTTCATACGTCATCAATTGGCGCTTTAAAATTATTTCAAATTAAAGCAATTTTGAGGGCCTATAAAAAATTATTCAATGTCGCGGAACTATTTTTTTTTGGATAAATATACTGAAAATAGACTTCTATTTCAGATTTTGTCCTTGAATTGGGTATTTTATTTTTTGTGAAAGAGCCCATTCCTATATTTCATAAAGCTGTCAAGTGCGTCACATCAACGACGTCATACCTATTAACGGCATTTTAGTAAGCTACCGTTTAACGGCAGTTTAAGTACAGCGCTTATTTTTGAAAAAAATAAAATAAAGATCAAAACCAATATATTTACTCGTTTACTCTTGTATAGTTTAAAATAACCAACAACTATAAAACAGCCTGATGACTCAGTGAAATTAAACTACATGATAGTAAATAATAAATAAATACACTTAAATTAATTTATAAAATTATAAGCTATCGATTTTTCAACATATTTATAAGCTTACGAAGATGAATATTTACGTCTCGTCTAGGATTAAGTTCTAATTCCTCTTGAAATAATAATTCCAGTGAATCGGTATTGGCTGGACCTGCTTGTTGATTAAGTAAAGTACTAAAGAACATATTCCATAAATCGATTTTTATATATCTAGGGAAATGTTTTAAGATGCTCCAAACGTCTCCAGTCTTTTTTAATTCAATGTATTCTTGAAATAAAAGAACATGTGCAGACGCCGCAACACAGAATAGATCCGTATGATAACTCCATGGTCTCCTTTCTTGTACCTATAATAGAGATTTTTCCGTTGTATTATAATCTTCGAAACTTCTACTAATTAATTATAAGGAATCTTACCTCACAGCAGACAAAATTGTCTGTTGTTATTGGTCTAGTAAATGTAGCATTTTCGGGAAATAATGTCATATCTATACTACAGCCAAAGTCTATTAATTGTAAGCTAAGAGAGTTGTCGGCAGTCATTATAACTAAAAAGTTATCTGGCTTTATATCAGCATGAATGATTTTCACTTCATGCATAGCTTTTACTATTTTTAACATTTCTAATGTAAAATATATACAAATAGATTCTTTTCCAGTGGTTTGTCTATCCAGCGTTTTTAACAGATTAGCTGTATCTAATAAAGATCCAAATGGTTGATACTGTGACACTAGTATTGATGCCTGGTCACCTAAAATAAATGATAAAAGAGTAGTATCAATTTCTTTTATTACCATGCCCACAGTAACATCAGGGCAAATAAAAAATATCGAAATATTAAGTTACAAATAATATAATCTAATATTCATATTCATAAACTTGACAATTTAACACACTCTTAGGAGTTTGTTCGACTGGCAATTAATATTGAACTATGCGTCTTGATGGAATGTAGATTCCATCAAAAATATTTGAAGAAAACAAAACATTAAAAATAGTGAAATAAATTTTCACTAATAACTAATTATAATATGAGTAGTAAAATAAAGAAGAGGCGTCAACTTGATTTAGTTGTTTCAATAGCGTATCTGTATTTTTGTTATGAGATATAGATATAGTTTTTAACAAATTAAAAACTAACAACATTTCTTGCCTTAACATAAATCAAAACTAGTAAATTACTGAGTCTACCCCAATTAATATTTTAACACGTTTTAAATTAAACTCGAACGCCCCTGATTAACCGGAATTTAAGTCGAACATGTTAACGCCCCATCGCGTTTACTATAATTTTCTTGATATTATCCTTCCTTAAGCTTGGTTGACAAGGTGGACTTGGACTAGGTCAACCGGATACTGCCATATAAATATAAGCATATAGATGTCGCGTGCGTCTCACTTTAAGGCGGATTCTCACGACTGGCGTACTTGACAAGTACGCCAATATTTGCGCACTTGGCAAGTATCCCCACCAGTCCCCGCTTTGTACTACATTGGCAAGTGTACTTGGCAAGTACGCCAATATATGCGTATTTGCCAAGTACCCCTACAATCCTTGGCAAGTAAACAGTATAGTCGCATCGATGGATACCGGTCGTCCCGAAATTGTCGTTGCTAGTGATTCTTTTTTCTTTTTAAGTTCTTTTACTGTACACTGCAATACGATTTCTATGTTCTTTATGTTTGGCCATCCATATGAAGGGCTCATTTTCGTATAAATCCCTAAATTCCAAAACAACATCATTTGAAGACTATACGGGAAAACCCAGTTTTGTCCATTAATTGGAGCCGAGAAAAATGCAATTTAGTGTTTTTAAAGAAATATGTTTTTTTCGGTTGAATAATTAGAAAAATATTTATATTACTACCAATTCTGAATTATTAATATTGCGAATTATCGCCATATTCTGAATAATTGAAATAAAAATCTAAATAGATAATCTAAAAAAAATAGTCAAAATGCAAAACAAAACGGAGGAAAACCAGAGATGTTCAATTAATTAAAGGTTGTATAAAACCTAAATCAACTATTATTTTTTTTGTTGAAAAAATATATTTAAATAGGTTTTTATTACAATACATAAATTTATAACCATATTGATAACGAAAAAAATATTCCATATATACGTATACTCTGTTTTTTTTCTCAGGTAAGATTTCGACAGACGATGACAGAAGAAAAGCAGATGACGTCCCATACCAATCTATTTATTTTACTAAAAAAAGTTTCTAATAATTTTTAAGTTAACTATGGATGGATTTAAATATAAATTCGTCATGCGTCGTCACTTGTTGTTTTTAACCAGTTTTATTGGTTTATTTAAAAAAATGACAGATCGTGATTTCAATTTTATTGGTTTGACGGAACGATAAACGACAAACGGACGCCGATGCGTATGAACTCGCCTTTAGATTTTGACATTTGTCAAAGTCTTGCTAAATTATAGGTTATAATTTTGTACAACTTTTGTCAACAATTTGGTGCGTTTTGGAAGATGATGCATTATGATTCGTGTTATTACGTGTTTTGTGTCTTTTGAAGTCAAGTGGAGGGAAAAAATCGAGTGAAAATTAACTGTAGAACCCAGAGCACAGTTTATGATTAATACTTGCTGCCCAGGCAGAAAGTCTTATACAGGTACACCAATAAAGTTACTATCAATAAAAGTTCGTATACCATCTCGTCGTAGATTAAGTGCATCTCGAATATGGTAGAAGAACCATACTAAACACATACTAAAAACTGAGAGTAGCTGTAAAATATCGACATTACACAATAGGTAACAATTTATTTTAGTACTGCAGAAAAATAATGGCAAAAGGTACTGGTTTAAAAAAATTAAGATTAAAGTTAATTAATAACCTGTGAGGTATAAAAAATTTGGTAAGTGTTATTAATAAAATAGTTTGTTTTATTTATGTTGTTTTATTAAAATTATAAAAAAAAAAAAAAAAAATATTTGTATATAAGTTATATTGATAACTATAATCATAAATGCGGGAAGTTTCATAAAGCTTGAAGTAAGAAATAGTTCTTTTTATATTTTTTGGTATGTACCTTTGTTTTGTTTATGTTTTGTATTAACACATACCGTTTTTATTAAATAAAATAACGATTACATTTTTCAGTTTTATACAATTCTTTCACAATATTTTGAAGCTACTTGTCAGTCAAATTTTAAATACATGGACTAATTTCCCTGCTAGCAAGTGTTCCAGTTGTACCAATTTATTTCTTTGTAAAATAAAAAAAAAAAATAAACTACTTTGAAATTAAAATGACAGACACATCATCAATGTCAAGGATCTCTCGTTGACAGACTATACAAATTAATTACGTGTATGTGTATACCTTTAAGATTGTTACATAAGGATAATATTTTTCTATCGATCGTGTCAGATGATGTCTTTGAGAGATTTGTTGATTCATCTATGTTTTCCGGTCAATGAGATTATTGTTGTTTATTGTAAACTTCGGCAAGTTTCGAGCGGAATAAATTTATTTTGTGTTTTTGATTTTCGACGATTTCCTGTAATATCCCTTGTTTTAATAATATAATACTCACTGCAAGATGCATGCTTGTCGCCCATGCGTAAGTACAACTTAACAAGTATAGCTAGAGACGTAAGAAATATAAAATAACACGGCGACCGGAGCTATCCCCAAGTCTCTTCCTATATTTGTACAACTGTACATCTCTGGTTTTTGCCATTTACGCGTGGACCACTCTGGTTTTTCCTTTGTACGGCAAAATAAACAAGCTGTAATATCTCTGAGAAAGCATATTATTGCTTTCTTTTTTCGAATGACGTTAACATTTGTCTATAAAGATGTATCGCTATCTTAATTTCTATGAAAATGTGATATATCTGGTTTTTCCCCGTGTAGTCTTCATTTGTCCACTCCATTTTATTGCTGTGGAAACGATTTAGGTATGTCGCCGATATTGAAGTTATTAATGTAAATTTGATATTACATAATCTATTATTGTTTTAACGTTTTAAATTATCCAAAATTAACTCGAAAAACACTACGATCCGGAATAAATCGACATACGCTATAACAGTTGCATTATTTGCGCGGTCGTTTTTTGCGCCTCAGCAAGTATAGACAAGGCTAGCTAAGTACACTTGGCAAGTGTACGATTAATCGACTCGGGCTATATTTACCGGCAGAGAGTGAGGACGCGACAAGTGATCAAGGAACCTGCTCCCACGACATGGCGAGCATATTCCAATAACAAATGCTTGTCAAGTACACCAGTCGTGAGAATCCGCCTTAAGGATAATAGTTTTCTATCCATCGTGTCAGATGATGTTTTTGAGAGATTTGTTGATTCATCTATGTTTTTCGGTCAGTCGAGATTATTGTTGTTTATTGTAAGCTTCGGCAAGTTTCGAGCGGAATAAATTTATTTGTATTTTTGATTTTCGACGATTTTCTGTAATATCCCTTGTTTTAATAATATAATACTAATTGCAAGATGCGTGCTTGTCGCCCATGCATAAGTACATCTCTGGTTTTTGCCATTTACGCGTGGACCACTCTGGTTTTTCCTTTGTACGGCAAAATAACTAAGCTGTAATATCTCTGGGACTAAGCGTATTATTGCTTTCTTTTTCGAATGACGTTAACATTTGTCTATAAAGTTGTATCGCTATCTTAATTTCTACGAAAATGTGACATATCTGGTTTTTCCTGTGTAGTCTTCATTTGTCCACTCCATTTATTGCTGTGAAAACGATTTAGGTATGTCGCCAATATTGAAGTTATTAATGTAAATTTGATATACATAATCTATTATTGTTTTAATGTTTTAAATTATCCGCAATTAACTCGAAAACACTACGATCCGGAAATAAATCTGACATACGCTATAACAGTTGCATTATTTGCGCGGTCGTTTTTTGCGCCTCGGCAAGTGTAACAAGGCTAGCCAAGTATACTTGGCAAGTGTACGATTAACGACTCGGGCCATATTTACCGACAGAGAGTGAGGACGCGACAAGTGATCAAGGAACCCGTTCTCACGACATGGCAAGTATATTCCAATAACAAATGTTTGTCAAGTACGCCAGTCGTGAGAATCCGCCTTAAGGATAATAGTTTTCTATCCATCGTGTCAGATGATGTTTTTGAGAGATTTGTTGATTCATCTGTGTTTTTCGGTCAGTCGAGATTATTGTTGTTTATTGTAAGCTGCGGCAAGTTTCGAGCGGAATAAATTTGTTTGTGCTTTTGATTTTCGACGTTTATTTTCTCTGTAATATCCCTTTGTCACTTAATATAATACTAATTGCAAGATGCGTGCTTGTCGCCCATGCGTAAGTACATCTGTGGTTTTTGCCATTTGCGCGTGGACTACTCTGGTTTTTCCTTTGTACGACAAAATAATCAAGCTGTAATATCTCTGGGACTAAGCGTATTATTGCTTTCTTTTTTCGAATGACGTTAACATTTGTCTATAAAGTTGTATCGCTATCTTAATTTCTATGAATATGTGACATATCTGGTTTTTCCTGTGTAGTCTTCATTTGTCCACCCCATTTATTGCTGTGAAAACGATTTATGTATGTCGCCAATATTGAAGTTATTAATGTAAATTTGATATTACATAATCTATTATTGTTTAACTGTTTTAAATTATCCGCAATTAACTCGAAAACACTACGATCCTCGGACAAACTCGACATACTCTATAAGAGTACAATTATTATTTGCGCGGTCGTTTTTTGCGCCTCGGCAAGTGT